AAAGAGACGTGTCTTCCATCTCTTGTGAGTTCCTTCTCTCAGAGTGAAATGTTCTAAATGAGTTAGGTTTAAGAAAGGCTATTAATTACCTACTGTGCGAAATTGTACTTTTGTAATTTTTCAGTTATTCCTTTTAGCAGAAGCTTTTTTCCCACATAGCCTTTTTAAGGCACATTTTCCTATCTATAAAAATAATACATGCTTGTTATAAATAACCTAAACTTTAGGAAATGCATAGCATAAAAAGTGAAAGTTCCCATTCATTCCATCTTCCAGAGAGTTAACCATGTTCCACAGCTTATTGTGTGTTGCCAGGTTTCCTTATGTATACACCATTAAAAAAAAAAAAAAAAAAAGGCTCATACAACAGCTACATTATTGTTTTGGTGACTTGCTCTTTTGTCTCATTTAACATGGGCATTTTTCCATATAATGCAAATCTACCTCTCTTTTTGAACTTTATTGAAATATAATTTATATGCCATAAAATTCACCCATAAAAAGTACCATTTCAGGGCCTCCCCGGTGGTGCAGCGGTTGAGCACTGGGTTGCGAAGCTGCCCGCAGCCTCTGCAGCACCTGTTCGATCCCCGGCTGCTCCCCGGCCACCGGAGGAGGGCCCCACATGGCGCGCAGACCTCTCCTGCCGCCTGCTGCTCCCCTCAGCAGTGTACCTCGGTCCTTCTGCCTGCTCTGCTCCCCGCTCTGGCTCTCGTGAATTCTCTCACCCTCCTGTGCGTCTGACTGTGCCCAGTGCTTGTATAAATAAATAAATAAATAAATAATTAAATCTTTAAAAAAAAAAAAAGTACCATTTCAATCTCACTTTTTACTAGTTGAATTCCATTGTGTAACTTACATTTGACCCCTCCCCTACTAATGGGCATCTAGATGGTTCTGAAATCTTCTACTCTTACAGGTAGTGCTGGAAGACACTCTTCACATACCTCTCCTTCTGCTGTAAAATGACACTGTAAATCACAATGTAAAAATTGTCATTAGTGATGTTGCAAATCTTAGGTGTTTACTAGCTATTCATATCTCTTTGTGTGAGGCAATTCCTGGGGAACCACCCAGGAACAACACCCCTCACCCTTGTTGGGATCATCATTGTTAGCAGATGGCACTATGGCCTGCTCCCCAGGGAAGCTGTGCTTCTAAGGGAGAGTAAGCATATTTATTTGCTAGACAGTTTAGCCTTTTTCCCACAGCCTTTGGAAGACCTTCCATGTAGGAGGACTGATGCCAGCTAACTTGGAACCTGGTCTTCCTCTGGTCAAGAAACAGCTGAGTCCTTTCCAACCAATGTTTAAACCAATTTCAAACTCAGACTGTCTGATTCTGGGGTCTAAGGCCAAATATGGTGAGGGAGACCTTGGTGGGCCAGTTCATCCTGTCCTGTGGTTGGTTAGGAGAAAGGTTTTTCGTAGTTGTTTGCTGGAAATCTCACTGGTAGCTTTCTTTGTCCAAAACCAGAAAGAACTAAGTGATGTGAGTCCTGTTGTAGAATTAATGGCTTTCAAACTAAGTGTCCTGGAGAACCCATGATTCAAATTCATGGAGCTTATTGAATTTAAAATAAATACCTGGACATCAATAAATGTGTTTTACATGACAGACAAAATGAATTTCTTTGTTCAACAAATCTTGTTTGGCTGCCTGTTACAAGCCAGGCACCCTGTACATGTGCTAGGAATGTGGTAGGAGAGGCTCCAAGGCAGAGGCTCCTGGTCTCACAGTGCCTATTTCCTAGTGGGGAGAGGAGAGTGGTCAAGAAAAGACTTAAGAATTTCTGCAATGAGAGGGGTTAGTGCCGCGAGGAAAATAAAGCAGGGAATGAGTGAGTGATGGAAGAAGAAAAGATGTGCACACCTAAGCAAAGTGGTTGGGAGAGGCTTGCTAGACGATTACCTGAGCGCCGAGCAGGAATGAAAAGGGAGATCCCACCACTTGGCAAACTGTGAGAAGAATGTTCCAGACAGAAGGTGCAGTACGAGCCACAGGTGCTGGGCCAGCTTGGAGCTTGTTGTGTGTTGGATGCCTAGACAGAAGGCCTATGGGTCCTACTGCCATCACGGTGTGTCTGCAGTCATCTGCTGAGAGCAGCACGAGGTGTCTGGAAGAGAACCAGTCCCTGATCTTGACCGGTCATCTTCTAAGCCTTAAGCACTTGGTCTTTCCTCTTTCCTGTCAGTCCTTCACTGTTCCCTGAGCATCTCTTATGCACCCTGCTCTGCTGAGAGTGAGGCTGGAGGTTGAGACCTTCCTGTCCTGGACTGTTCCAGACTGTGGAGTGCCCTGCCACATGGCCAAAATGTGTACGGTAGTTGATAAGAACAAAGCACAGTTTTAAGGACTCTGAATATATACTCATTAATTCTTCTCTGAGGTGTAGCTACTGTAATTTCTTCCATTTTATGAGGGGCACATTGCGGCCCAGAGAGGTTAAGCAACTTCCTGTGGGCCCCATGTACATGGTGAGGTTAAGATTTTGAACCCAGCACTAAGCCATCACTTCATCTTGTGATGAAGCTCCCTCAAGGGCCTTTCTGGCTCTGACTTAGAATCCTGCCTAGAAACACTGCCTAGTTTATGAATGGATTCCTGGCAGCTGCCTTGCTGATGGACTTGCTGTGGACCTGGGGTGGCTGCTAGCCATTGGCCCTGGCACAGAGTGGGTTTCCCGGGCGGAAGCCTTTATTGCACCTGGTTAGTGGAGGCTTGAGAAAAGAAGCTATCAGGAGAGTGGTCCAGGTCAGCATTGTGCCTCTGGAAAGGTTCCATACTATGGGGGTTTTGTATTGTTTCCCAGAGTTGAACAAGAAAGCACTCAAACTTCTGACCAGCTCATAGTCTCTGGAACTCCGCTACCCTGAGAGGTGGGCTCACACAAGGATGGCTGGCTTCATGGTCCCAGCCAGGAGCCTGACCAAATCCCTGTATCCTGTGAGGGGAACCATTTCCTGAAATGTCACAATTTGGCCCATAACACCACCTTTGCTTTTTATGTATTATGTATCACATTAAATATAATTATAAGTAATAGATTTATTGTATAATTAATTGTATTACTTGTAATATACCATTTTTATATAATAATTATATGTAATTATTACATATAATTTTTTCCCCCTAAGCCATTTAAAAGTGCAGCTGTTCTGGTATTTCAGCATGTCTCCTAGGAATGAGGATGCTCTTGGTGGGATTGGTTTTGATGTCCTTTATTTTATACTGATGGGCACAGATTCCCCAGAGGCCAAACAAATGAGTATGAGGTGGCCCTTACCCTGCCTGGGGCTTCCCTCCAGGGCATTCTATCCCTGCCCAGTTTTCTCAGCCTTTCCTTCTTGAGCCTCCAGTCCCTTGGTGAGACTTGGATGCTTACGGGAAGGAGACCTCCTTACCTTTCAGAGCCATTTGGTGAGCAGCACTTCTTGGCCTCGACTTCTTTTGCATTGTTGATGTAATGTGTCAGTGGAATGACTCCTTACAGTTCTACACACTCTTTGGTGTCTTTATGAAAATGTCTCTGAAAATACCACACTGATTTCATTTCTCTGAACAGACAGTGCTTGCTTTGCACACGTGAACTGCCTATATTCATTTTTTTAAACTTTATTTATGCATATAAGAACTGGGTTGTAAGCTAGAGGATTCATCAGAGAGAGTGGGGAGCAGAACAGGCAGATCTACTGAAATACACTGCTGAGGGGAGGAGCAGGTGAGGCAGGAGAGGTCTGCTGCACCATGTGGGTTGCTTCCTGGCTGGCCAGGGATCCAACTCATGCTACAGTGGCTGGTGATAGCTTGATAGCGCTGTCTTTAACCCCTGCACCGCCAGGGAGGCCCTGGACTGCCTGTATTCATCCAGAGAAGTAAGGGGGATTGATTTGGGCACCATTTTCTCCCTCCTTCGCTTCCTGCACCCCCATCAGTAGCTCAGGGCTCTGCCAGAAGTTGGTCACCAGTAGTAGTAAGGCAGCTTCTGTGGGCTTGTGTCCCGTCTGTTTCTTTCTCACTACTCATGTGGGAAGACATCACATGGGCAGCACTTTAGCATTTATTTTACGAGTGTTGTGGAAATAGTCAGCTGGGGCTTGGGTGGGCATTTGTTTCCTTTTTGTTCAGTGGCATGTCTGCCGACTGGAGATGAAGCTTTGCCATTGGAGGTCTTCGGACCGTTGCTGAGTGACTGAGGACTGTGTAACTGGGAGTACCGCTGCCTGGTATGGTGACTCAATCAGCTTCCTCCCTGGAAGCCCTCCATCCACACAACTGCTTTCTAAAGCATGTTCTGACTTACTTAGCACTCTTCCTTTTCCTTCCTTACAGGATTCATTCCAAACTTTTTAGCCTGGCGTTCAAGACCCTCCCTCATGTGGCCCCTGCTCAGTTTGTCTCCCTTGTCACCTACTGTATGAAAGTCTATGAAGCAATGCCAGACACACTCTGCCACATCCGCCTATACCTATGAGCCTGTGGTGTTTGCCATCTCGTCCCTCTCTGGCCCGTTTGTTCACCCAGCCTTTCGGACCTGGCTTGGCCATCTCCCACCAGTGAAGCCTCTCCTGATTTGTGCCCTTCCTCCAGCAGGGCTGGTCACCCTTTCCTGTGCCTTTGCTCTGTCTCCAGCTTAACTCTTCTATTGGGGTGGAAGGATGGCTTTGTAGTTGGGTAGAACATACCCTGAAGTTAAAAGTAGCTACAGCGCACGTTGTACCTTCAAGTTCCTCTCTGGGAGAGCCTTGTCACAAAGAAGAAAAAATATATACTTTTTCACACACCTGAGAAATCATTCTTCCCAGGTGTCCAGTTGTGAAACTATACTGGTTAGCAGCAGTGCAGGCTTCTGTGACCCTCACCGCTTACTGTATACATTGTTGGAACAGGTACTTTCACTTAGAAGTGTAAACAATGAATGTACTGATAACCCAGCTGTTTATATGCATTTTGCCTTGTTATCACTGTGAAAACTACTGAATATCTTTCTTTTCTTTCAGTTAAACGTTTCAGAGAACCAAAGCATGAAAGACGGCCATGGAGGATATGGTGCGTATTTAAATATTAACTTGCTCCTAGAGTGCTTTGGACTAATTTGGGAGTGGGTTAAGGGAGGGGTTAGCGGGTGAAATGTGAGCAATTATACATCAAGTGTTGGAATCTCTTAGTTGAATTATCAGGAGTAATGTGTGCTATGAAGGCACTTCTATTTCTCCAGTTAACTTTTGAACCCTGCCTTTATTTTATTATCACTCTGCTATCCAATTATAGAAGATGGGCAATAAAACAGATTAGTCTGTGCTGTGGACTTCTTCAGTTATGTCTCCCTGTTGTTTGATTATGTTAAATTCCTCAATTCTGCAGTCTATGTATAAGCAAAAAAAATTTAATTTTAGACAGTAGTTATATACCATGTAAATGCTCCTGTCCCCAAAACTAGTCTTTCTGGGTCCTGACCCTGTGGTGGCAGGAAAATGGCAGCTACCATTTTCCTTCATAAAAATGGTAGCTCCAATATTGTGAAGTGGCTCCAAAATGTAAGTCACTTGGAAGGAGATAGTCAGATCCTCAGGACAACATGGTGTCCACAGAAGTATCTTTTTGGGGCAACCTTAAATTGCACCTGCCCTAACAGAATAGCCATTTCCCCTCCAGAGAAAACGTCCAAGAAGTCACTGTAATGAAAGTCTCCTTATAAAATGTCAAGCATATATTTGATTGATCTTCACTGTGCTATTGAATTTTCTCCCTGTTGGTTCTTCTCACATTTAGCTAGGGCTGGGCACCTGATGAGGACCCTTTGGGGCTCTTTGTGTTTTGCATACATTGCACTTTTGTGACTCCTGCTTTGCCAAGATTTTAGGAATCGATTTTTCAGCCTTGGTTGCAGGGCTGGTCTGGATTGTTTCTAAGGGTCCTGAACCCCATGAAGCGGTTCCGTGTCTGTGCACCCCTTCATCATCCCTCCAGTGGCCAGGCCAACTCTGGATTCCCAGTCTTGGGGGCCAAGAGACATAGCCACAATCCAAAAGTTCCTCCGCCACAAACCTTAAGTGGTCTGCAGGTATTGAGGGCAGAGGGGAAACTAAAGCCCCACGTCAACTCCGCCATGTGAGAGGAGTGACTCTCCTGTCATGTGACAGGAGTGACAAGGTGTCCCAAAGACTAACAACCTTGCTTTCTTCTTTTTTGAAACCCTTGTCATCTAATCCAGGAGTTGGTAAACTATAGCCACAGGCCTGATCTGGCCCTCTAAAGTGCTCTGGTGACCTTGGCAGCAACAGAGAACAATGGGCCCATGAAACCTAAAATGTTTGTTCTCTAGTCCTTCAGAGACAAGTTTCCCCACTCCTAATCTAGCCCATTGTTTAAATGTCAGCACCTGAAAGCTGCAGTGGTAGATTTGTGCAGCTCTTGTTAATCTTGTACATAATTCAGCTCATTGTGAACAAAGTCCAATAGGAGCTTTTAAAAATAGAGGCACCAGACCTCATCACAAAGCTGTGCATGAGATTTTTTTTTAAAGTTTTATTTTTATTTGTTTATGCATACAAGAACTGGGATGTAGGCCAGAGGTGCCAGGGGGCGGGGGTGAGAGGATTCACCATAGACAGAGTAGGGAGCAGAATAGGTAGATCTACTGAGATACAGGTTTCATGGGCCCAGCAGGCGAGACAGGAGAGGTCTGCTACGCCATGTGGGTGAGCTCCCTGGGCAGGGATCGAACTCATGCTGCAGTGGCTGGTGATGGCTTGATAGTGCTGACTTTAACCCATGCGCCACCAGGGAGGCCCTCAAGCATTTCATTTTGAAGTAACAGTAAAAGTAAAAAGATTTAAAACGTGTTATTAATTAGTGCCCATTAGGGATTTCTGATGCATTGTCAGTGAAGGTTTTGAAAGGTAGCTGAAACACCAAGCCTGAGGTCATGCTGACTATCCCAGAAAGAGGTGACTGGTAACTGGAAGTTGGGGTCTCCCGGGGGCTTTTTTCCTGCTTCAGACTTACTATTTTCCCCAGATTGGACATTATACTTCTGTCAGGGTGATGACAAAGTGCTGAATTCTACTTTGTACAGGTTTTTAGACACTTCCAAACAAGCCATAGGAATGCTGTTCATTCATTTTGCAAACGTTTACCTGGCAGATCTCACGGAGGAGGACCCTTGTTCACTGTAAGTGACCCATATTGGAATACAAACATCACCCTTTGCTCTGTTGAAAAGGTAGGCTGACCTTGTCTTCTCCTGCCAGTTCATAGGGCTTCTCTGGAAGGCAGTTTCTCTGTGCTCTGGCTTTGCTGATTAATCCAAGATCCGTCCTTTGACATTCTAGAACCTTTATGTCTCCCAATTTCCAAACAGCCCCTGGCAGAGCAGGGTGTGCCCTGGAGAAATGTCTCTGTGCTGGGACAGGGCACATGGAGCTTCTCAGGGATATCAGCCATTGTGGGTCAAAGCTGTGTTCGACTGTCATTGTTCGCACGGCCCCCAGAACAGTCTCCTTGGAACCTCAGTTGGGCCAGGATACACTGTTCTCCTTGCTGCCAGCACTTGAACGGTGCCTCTTGTAGCAAATGGAGTGGCTCCATCTCCTACCTTCCTAGCTCAAGTTAGGCACTTCAGCCATGCTCCCTGCTCCAGTCAGCCCTGCCAAGCGTCTCCTGCCTCTGTGCCATTGCTCACACTGCCCTCTGCCTGGAGTGACCTTGCTCTGCTGTGCCCCACCTCTGAGGGAGAGCAGAATTGGAAGGCTCCTTTAAGCTCTTTTTTGACAAGTGTGCCAGTTTGAGATTTAGTTCAGGTCCAGATTTCAGAAGGGAGTTGTGAAGTCTCCCTCCCCAGGGTCTTTCCTTAAGCCAGTAGATTGTGGTCTGTTTGGACATTTGGGTATAGTTCCAAAGCAGGGGACTGGAAGGGTGGTGTCCCTTACAGGGAGATAGTTAGGGAAGTATCTTGCCCCTGCAAACCTTGAGTCGCGCGGGAAGCTACGTTATCTTCTAGTGAAGCATCTCGATGTTGGCTGAGATAGACTGAGCGCCAGCTGCTTACCCTGGAGGCAGCACAGTGAGGAAACCTAATTGCTGGTGCAGCCTTGGCCACATGCCTATCCCTTGCAGTGCCCCCACTGCCCAGCCCCACTTCAATACAAACTGAAACACAGCCAGGATGGAGAAGGGGCTGTTGACAGATTTCTAGTGCTCAACCTGGAGGAGAAATGTCCCAAAATGGAGCTTGGTATAGTGAACAGAGCTTTAACCAAGAGGCCAGATTGTGGGACGTGAGCTTACCTTACCTTCTTTGGGTCTGTTTTCTCAACCCTGTGTGTCCTGCCAGATCCCCAGGGTTACTGAGGTTTCATGAGATGACAAGTATAAGCACCATCTGGAAGCCATAGAGTACTACCAAAGAAGATGTTAGTATAGTTGGAACATATTGTTGCTAAAGCTTAGAGAAGGTATGACAGCTCAGCAGTGGACTGAAGAGCTGCCAACTGGAGAGGTCCTGGGACCTATTACTGATGGGGGAAAGGGAATGGGCTGGACCTGGAGCATCTTGGGCATCTGCAGGCCTAGCTCAGGAAGCGGAGAATCTTACAAACAGGGGAAATGAACTGCTTCCTGTGGCTGCAAGGCTCCCCTGTGCTGGGGATGTTGCTTTGAGTGGGAGTTAAAAGTTCATGATGTCCAGGGTTTTGTGACTCTGATTCTAAATAACATAATTTGTGTCATGCTTACTATATAGTAGGCACTGTTTCCATATATTGAAATAAAGAAATTTACCTGTCTTGATAAATTGTTCCTCACAGCAGTCCTGCAATTTAAATACTTTATCATTTTACAGTTGGGGAACTGAGGGACAGAGAAAGCATATCACGTAATCAAGTCCATGCAGCCCAGGAGTGATGGAGCTGGGATTTGAAGCCAGCCTCAGCCTCTAGGGTCCATCTGACACTGCTCTCTGCCCGTCTCACCTGTGCTGGCTACAGAGCATAGAGCTCTCTGTCTTTATTCTCAAAATCTGACACACAGTTGGCTCACATATTTGGTGGGTGAGTGAGTGAATGAACTAACAAATGTTTGTACATCAGGTGTTCTTGTTATTTTCATGATGGGTCTCAGCAGAATCCCTGGAAACCACCTAGATTTAAGAGCAGCTTAGCTTAAGGCCAGCACTCATCAGTAAACTTGGAGACTGTGCCTATTCTTCCATCTCTGGTCTGAGGGTGACCCCTGGTGCTCTTAAAGAGGAAGAGCAGGCAGGAGCAAACACTACCTCTCCCTCTGGTTTTCTGGCTGCTCCAGGGTACTGGCAGGGCTAAGATCATAGCAGAGCAGTACAGGCTCCCTCATGTCAGAGTCCATGTGGAATTAGAAAGTTTATCTGGGGCTTTCTGAGCCATGTGTCATGTCAGGGGACTAGTACTTGGCCCTTCTTGTCTCATGCTTGTCTGAAGAGCTATAGCCTGTGGTCAGTGTTGCTTACTGAGGTCTGGGTCCAAGCCTTTGGGGGAGGACCAGTGGGCAAGGGCCTTTTCTTGGGAAGAAAGAGATGGCTTGGACCCAGATGGAAACAGACTTTATAGGAACTTGTGGTCAGTGTAGGGATGTTCTTCTGACCCTTCTTGGACTAAGAAACCCAGAGGCCACTTCCCAGACCACCCTAGTGCAGCAGCATTGTTGGGGGTGAACAGCATCACAGCAGCCTTTTTCTTATCAGTTAAGTTCTGTTTTCCTACCGACCTCCTCAGCTGCTTCCAGGCTTTCTGTCTTGTGTCGAATCTCCTTTTGAGACTTTTTGGTTTACCACCCCTCCTTCTAGCTGTTCCACCTTGGATTAAGTGTCTGTACCCTGTCTTGGGGAAGCTTTGCTGGTGGTCCTGGAAGAAAGCACTCTCGCACAGGCACATTTAGGATTCTCAATCCCCCAGAACAAAGCCAAAGTGCTGAGTCATCAGTCTTGACCTTGGCCCTGGTAAGGACACAGGACCCAGCTCAGTGACTCTTCCCCCCTGGGTGGTTCTTCCTGACCGTGTTGCTGTGCCCTCCCCTTGCAGGTACCTCATCAATTTCCTCTTGGATGCCACCGTGGGCATGCTGCTCATCTACGTGGGCGTGCGTGCCGTCAGTGTCCTGGTGGAGTGGCAACAGTGGGAATCTCTGCGTTTTGGCGAATATGGTAACATACCCGTGGCTACTGAATGGGGATGTAGAAGGAACTTCCTGGTGTGGGGGCTCTATTCCTTGTCCATGCATCCCTCCAGGTGATGGATCAGAAGTTTCAGGAGCTGGTGGCTATCTCCTCTGTGGCACGGAGGCTCTGTCTGGGGTGTGAGCACTGCCCTCCTGCCAATGTCAGAGTGCTAGACTTCTGAAACATGGGTGCCCGCTTCCTGGAGGCAGTTCTCATCTTTGTGGCAGGAAAAGTGGCAGGAGACACCCCCAACACAGAATAAGCATAACATTTGCTGCTTCTGTCGGAGGGCACCGGTGATTCCACCTGCCGGTTCAGAAGGCCTCCTTGCTCTGCTGAGCTTCCCACCAAGCTTACATCACTCCCACCATGTTGGAAAGATGGGGGTGCTCTTTGCGGGGAGGTGGCACACCTGCCATTCTTTTGTCTGCCTGCCTGTGCATGTCCTATCATTTGGCCTTCCCATGACTGGGGCTCACAAGGTCAGGACTGCCAAGTTCATCAATATAAGCTGACCCTCCTCCCCACAGCTGGCATGTACCAGTCACTGGGGACACCGGGTTTAGCCTCACTCGCAGAGATACAGCTTTAAACAGGTGCCCTGTGGATGCTGGCCCTGCCACAGCCAACTCCCATCTCACAAGACCTCATGGGAAGCAGCTCATGCTGACTCTGAGCACAAATGTGCTTTTACTCTTTGCATCCAGAGAAATGACTGCATGTGGCCTCATCAGGGCTCCTGGTGAGAGGTGCTTTCAGGCCTTGCCACCTTTTGGAGATTCAGAGCACAGGATGGTGTGACGGCCACTCCCCCACTACCTCCACAGCTGGCCCCTGCTGTGCAGAGGTAGCAGCTCTGCTTCTCAGTGGGAAATAGTACCAGTGGAGCCTTAGCCATGATGAGGTACATGGGCCAAGAGGGAGGGAGTGGAATGCAAGTGGCTGGATCCCTACTTTGCTTACCTGGTCGTATCTCCCAAAGAACTCATGGCTCTGGGCCTAAAGGCCGCTCACTCCTGCATAGCTGAAGACTCACAGGGACTGACATTTAAAAGGGGAGCTGACATGTGGGGCCAGCTGTTAGTGCCTGGGGTATTTCCAGAAATCTTAAGTAATTGTTTATCTCCTTTGAGGGGAGATGAGCTCAGGGGAGGTCTTTTCTTAGCCCCTTTAGTTGATGCCTGATGAGTCACTGGCTTAAGATAGTGTCCAGCCCACAACATGTGCTCCTGTGACTCCAGGGAAAGCTTCTGAGAAGCTTCGAGTCATCCCCTCCTCAGCTTGAAGGACACAGTGGCATCATCCTCAATTATAGGATTCTGGAGGGGGTTAAGTTACACAGGAAGCGCACCCAGCCCCTGTACAGTTCAGGGGGTTCATGCCTCCTATTTAGGGGTACCTAATCCTCCTACCCCCTCCAGGAATGGTGCTCACAACTACTTCTTTGTTGTAAGGCCCCCTGGAAGGCAGAACTCTTGACTCCATAGCTGTCCAGTGTGTGGGAGATCCACCTACAGCCAGTTACTTGCCACTGGGTCTTCTGGGGGTGGAGATCAGATCTAGTCCTGACTCATCCAGCCTCATGGTACACCTGTTCCAAGTGTGTTTTATCTGCATCCCCAAAAGATTGACAGGAAGAAGGCAGTGGTTGTTTGAGCCACTTGCTTCCAAGCCAGCCTCTTCTGTCCACTTGAACTGTCTCTGACCTGTGTCCTTAACACTGCCTTTGGGAACCAGAGTCTTCAATCCAGGGTATCTTCAGAAGAAACTTCCCTTTATCAAGGACCCTCCCAGGAAGTATAGTGTGTATCCTCAGTTACCTGTTTTCTGTATCTGTTTCTTTTATTTTCTATTGCTGCTGTAATCAATTCCCCCATAAAACCAGTGCCACAAAACAACACAAACAATATAAATTTGTATTATTCAGTACAGAAGTCTAGTAGGGTCTCAGGGACTAAAATCAAGGTGTCAGCAGGACTAGTTCCTTCTGGAGTCTCTAGGGAAGAATTGGTTTCTTTGCCTTTTCCAGTTTCTAGTTTTCCAGTTTCAAATCCCTTGGTTTGTACCAAGCCACAACAGGTTGTATTCCTGATATATCCCTTGCCTATGCCACCTTCCACGAAGAGTCCTTGTGATTACATCAGGTCCACCTGGGTCGTCCAGGTAACCCTCCTATCGTAGAGTCAGCTGGTTGTCAGCCTTAATTCTATTTGCAGCTAAATTTCCCTCTGCCGTCTTACCTAACTTACTCCCAGGGTTCAGGGATCAGGGTGTGAACATCTCCAGAGAGGCCTGTTCACCAGCCCTTCCATTTGAGGCAATAATTGCATGTAGATTCCATAATTCTCTTATCCGGTAAATGAAGAAGAAGGGTTTTCTGGGTGCTTCCTTTGTCCCTGGGAGAGAGAATGAAATTGCTAACAAGAACATGGGACTTGGGGGAATAAACCACCACCTCTGAGAGATGAGACAACATCCAGGGTGTTAAGGGATGTCTGCGTGTGATCACCAGGTTGTTCTCAACCTGGCAGAAGCCCTGGAAACAAGGTCTGTGTCCTACAGGCACCAGTGACTTGTGGGCTCTGCTGCCCATCCCTGTCCTTGCCCACCCCCCACAAGTCTCTAGACCAGACATGGTCCCTCATGTTGGCCCCATCCCTGCATTTATCCTGAGGAAATAATTCAACAAACAGAAAACACCTCTGTACCTGAAGGTGTCCATTATGGACACAACTGGCATGTCCAAGTAGGACACAACTAGCGTGTCTGTCTTTGACAGATGATGGGGTATCTGGGAATATTAGGAAGACTGTCCAGTGAGATCAGGAAAATGAACTGGCACATGTGCACTCATTCCACCTGTGGCTCCGTGGGGTCCAGATCACAGGAGGGAAAGGTGTGGGGGTACACTTGAGCTTTTTCACCATGTTGTTTAGACTTATTAAGGCATTTAAAAGGAAAAAGAGGCAGCTGCACCTAAGTAATGGAGTGGAAACTCAGAGCGGTGTGGGGCAACACCAGGCAACAACGAGTGACTTAGAACCTGAGAGCAGATCGGTTAAGCACACTCCGAGCAAGGAGATTTTCTTTTGATAATGTGTTGCCATGTGTTCTGTTCACTCTTAAACATGCCACTCCCAATTCCATGATATTTCCTACTAGCACTTTCTGCCTGACTGTCCCCAATCTTTCTTAATGGTTTTTAACAAATATTTTGACCCGTTGTTTTTGAGAACTTTTCTCAGTAAGGTCAGGTAGTTTACTGAAAGGATTACATAACTCCATTTAAAATCTAACTAGGAGAGTTTGTGCTTCTGAAATGTGTTTTGGCTCAAATGTGTCTTTATCCCAGAAGTGAAAGTAGATAGGACAACCTCAGAAGACGCAAGGACGGCTTTCTGTAGGCTTTCTGCATGCTTCTCTTGAAGTTTTCCAGAAAAGGGAATAAGGGCCTAGTGTTATGTCCATTACAGCTGCATTAAGGCATTCACTTGTGCTTGCACTTCCACTGTGTGCCGGCAGGCTCAGGCAGGCCTGGAGCCTCCAGCACTGGTGCCTGGACAGGGATTGCTATGGAAACATAGAATCAAATGAAAAGCTGGAAATTTCTCTTCGAGCCAAATTCTCTTCTCAGCCTTCATTGGGGCCTTTGCCTCCCCTGAAATGTTACTCTCCACCCCCACCTTCCAGCCCTCTGTAGTGAGGCAGCTCCAGTCGAGCTTCCAGAGTAGGCCCCTGGTTGCCTCCCCCCACCCTTCTCCCCAAGGGGCCACCCTCTGCATTCTGCCTGTCACTGAGGAAGTACATGGTTCCCTGGAGGGGCCGGCCCTCCGGACCCATGTGTCCCACTGTTGGATTCCTCTGCTTGTCAAGCATAGTGACCAGTGGGGTCACACGTGCACCTTTGTCACAACTCGTCACTCCCACCTCCTCACCTTCAGGCCTTCTCTCATTTCTTCCTTGTCCCCAACCCAAGATGTTTGGAGTACTCCATACAGACCATTGAAATTCCTCCAGAGTTAGATTTCTTTTTTTCAGGGCGGGGGCTGCAAAAATGGCTGGGGGAGTGAGAAGGATGGGGGCAAGAGAACAAAGACGGTTGAGGTCTTCATAGTTCAAAAACATCAGGCGGCTTACTGATGGAGGGAAGTATGGATAGTACCATAGTCACTGGAAAAATCAACAATGAATAATAATAGCAGTCTTGCTTAACACAGCTCTGCTGCCAGCAGACGAAAAAAACCAGCCTGTCTCAGTGTCAGCAATGGGCTCTTACTAAATGTAGTGCTTTTTAATTATATCTTAGAATCTCTTGAAAGAAAAAACACACTGGTATCTCCAAATTAGGACTTTTTGGACTTTGTTTAAAACACCCAGATTTGTCTGTTGAAGCTGAGGTGATTTGTCATTTTTGGGGGCTCATTAAATAGCTCTGAAACCAGGGTTCTGGTGTGGGGTGGGGGTGAGAGCTCATAGGAGTGAGGGCTGTTTGGCCCCGTGTGACTAAAAAGCACCCACCTCTCCCTGCAGGAGACCCTCTGCAGTGCGGAGCCTGGGTTGGGCAGTGCGCTCTTTACATCGTGATCATGATTTTTGAAAAATCTGTCGTCTTCATTGTCCTCCTGATACTTCAGTGGAAAAAGGTTTGCCTTTTGTCAATTTGTTAACAGCTCCTTGCAAAGCTAAGCCGGACAGTCCTTTCTCCCCCTCCCCCAGCCCTCCATTCCATGAATGTACCCTCGATTCTGTCTAGCAGCAGATACTGGCTACCTTTCAAGAGCAATCATTTGTCATTTTTTTACTTAGCATCCATCCACTTCAATTATACAAATATCTGCTCTAGATTAAACCTGGGATCGTATAAAGCTAATGAAAATACAGACCATGCCCTCAGGTTGCATGCTATCTGGTACTAGTCTTCAGGCCTGGAAACTAAATGTCAGGAGGGGGTTCTCCATTTGTTGTCCTCACATTACCTCTCTGGTCCAAAGGGTTAAGAGAGCTTCTTGGTGCCCAATCTGACCACCAGCATGCAGATCACAAGCTGTTCCAGGGTTACTCACCCCCAGTGCTGCCCATATAAGCCTCCACTGCCTCTTTCCTCCATGCCCACGTGAAAGCCACCAAAGAGCCTTCGGAAACAAGTGGCATGGATCGTGGCCTCCCTTAGGTTTTAGTATTCCTGGGATTTATGCTTTAAGTAAATTAAACAAGGCTTTCTGGTGCTGTTGTCCTCAGGAGGCAGCTGGAGTCCAGGGTTTCCGTTAGAAGGTAGTCTGGCACCTCATTGCTTGTATCTGTAATAATTGTCTACTGACTACACTCCCTCTGGCTCCCTGGAGCCCACACTCCACCCTGTGCTTCCTTGGGCAATGGAAGGGAGGGCCTTCACTTCCCACGTTCAGGGGGAAAGTTACAGCAATAAATGCTGCCATGTTCTCTGAGGGGGTCCCTCCCAGCAGGCAAATCTGGGGTCTGTGCAGTTGATTTCCACTGCATCTTCACTCCACTCTGTACCTCTCTGTGGTCTTTCCCACCTCACCAAGCCTGCTTCTCTTTACAGGTGGCCCTGTTGAATCCCATTGAAAACCCAGACCTGAAACTGGCCATCGTCATGCTGATCGTCCCCTTCTTTGTCAATGTCAGTGCCATGTTGCATTTCCTACCCCAATTTACTTCCTGCCTTCTGGTGTTCTGTCAAAGTTTTGAGTCTGACAGAGAGAAAACATACCTTATAGCCCTCGGGTCCCTCTGTGTGAGCATTTACTGCTTCCTCACCCCCACCATAGACCTGGGAATGGCAGGATTGCTTCCTGCTCAGGCAGATCCCTGTCCCAGGGCTCTGGGCCTCCCTACTGGGGGTCCTTCCCCTGAATAGTCCCCCGCATGTATAACAGCAACTTCTAGACAAGGATCATTGGGAATTACTGCAGTTGTTTATTCCTGATTATAGAGCTCCAAGAAAAACTGAGGAGGAACTTGGGGTGACAGACATGGCAGAGTGTGCCCGCTAATCTCATGAGGGAAGCCTAGACCAGGAGCAGACACCTGGGTTCCAGGCCCCACTCTGCCTCTGGGAGATAGCAGGGGGGCTAGGTGAGGTTTTTCTTTCCCTAGTTCTGGATGATGGGGGGTGGGAAGGTAGGGGGTAGGGGTTGCTCTGCTTTACCCTCACAAATGGCTCATCCCAGAATAACCTGCACTTCTCCGTCCCACAGGCTTTGATGTTTTGGGTTGTGGACAATTTCCTCATGAGAAAAGGGAGGACGAAAGCTAAACTAGAAGAAAGAGGAGCCAACCAGGACTCGAGGAATGGGAGCAAGGTCCGCTACAGAAGGGCCGCATCCCATGAGGAGTCAGAGTCTGAGGTAAGGCTGCCTTCACTTTGAGGGCTGAGCCTCAGGCCACCTGCCTGTGGAGTCTTTGGTCTCATACAATGCCAGCCAGCGGGGAGGAAACCGACAGCTCTCACCTGGCCAGGACCCATTGCTGCTGTCCCACAGGCCTCCCTAGGGTGAGGTTGTGGGGCAATCTGGTGGGCGTATCTTGCCCTTATCAGCCTCCTGTCAGTGGGGAAAGACAGGAAAGGGAGGAGGTGCCTTCTTCCAGGGAAGCTGGCAAGGATCCTCATAGACCAGATGGTTAACCTTTAAGCATTAAGGTGTTTGAATCTTTGCCCACCACTAGCAAGCAAAGGAAGTGTTGTTGGCTAAGCCAGCTGGAAACTCTGGAGTTGTAGGGATACCCAGATCTCTCAGGGGAGCCTCACCTCCCTTTATTTTCAAATTTCCTAAGTTGAAATGTTTGGAGATTGATGGGAGATTGATGGCCACAAACTAAGCATGGACACAAGGCTGTGTGTCTTAGACAGCCCGCATCCCTCACTTTCCATACTTGGGAGTGAGCCAGCATTGTCTCCTGAGCATTCAGCCCAGTGGTATGCTGAGCTCTGCACCACAGGCAGGGGCTATGGAAATGGCCGAGGTGATGTCTTCCCTGAAAAGCCTGCAAACTTGTGGGTGAGGTGTAGGTAAAGCCTCAGCAGCTCATCATCACACTCTGAGAATGTTTTGAAGCACTGACAAACCCTGGGGCAGTCTGTTTTAACTCCTGGAGGCATCCTGGAAGGAGTCTGGAAAGCTGACCTGATGAGCTGCAACGCGGGTAAGACCGTATCTGGCATAGGCCTTTGAGTAAGAGCTCGTGAGCATTGGGTGAGTGACAGGCAGTGCTACAGGCAGAAGCATCTGCTACACAGCTGCATGTATCCTGCAAGGTAGGATGAAATGACAAGAAATGAGCTATCAGTAAAGGTCTGAGCTAGATGGTCAGGTGCTTTGTGATCCAGGCTAAGGAAAAGGGGCGTCTGTGTGCAGGCAGTAGTCAGCCAGTGTCTGAGCTGGAGTCCTGCAGCCCTGCAGGGGAGTGGCCAGGGATAGGTAGTTACCACTCTGCCCCTGGAGAGGAATGAGTCCCTGTTCCCCTGCACTGGTAGACTTCAGACCTCTCCTTCCTGGCTTGGGTTTTCCCGGTCCTTCCCTGTACTTAGGTCTGAGAAGCCAGGTGTGTGCCTCTGCAGGAGGGCATGTTTGCTCTGGATGCCTCTGCCACAGGGTTGAGTCATTCCAAGGGGCTCAAGGAAGCACAGGCCTGCTGTTTGTCCTCAGAAGTTGCAAAGTGGGTCCAAGGCAGTTGCTCTGAAATCTCCTGGCCTTTTGTGTGCTCCACAGTTTTTCTCTTTTGAAAGGAACTTTACAGTTTGCTTTTACAACATTTAAAGCAACCCCAAAGGACTCCATGTATCAAGATTGGGTGTTTGGGGCCTCCCTGGTGGCACAAGGGGTTAAGCGCCGCACTATGAAGCAATCCAAAGCCTCTGCAGCATGAGTTCGATCCCCGGCGGGTCAGGGAGAAACCCACATGGCGCAGCAGACTTCTCTTATCTCGCCTGCTGCTCCCCTCAGCAGTGTACTTTGGTCAATCTGCCTGTTCTGTTCCCCACTCTGTCTCGGGTCAGTCCTCTCACCACCCCGCAATGCATATCTGGCCTGTACCCCAGCTCTTGTATGCATAAAAACATAAATCTTTTAAAAAATTAAAAAAAAAATTGAGTGTTTGACAGGATCCCTGCTAAGTTTGCTGACAGGTTCAGCCCCAACTGGAGATTGAATGGACAAGAGGGGAGCACTGGCTAAGGGGAATCATGTCAGGTCAGCCCTGGTTTCAGTAGCCTGCAAATGAACTTAGAGTCACTGAGGTCTAGAGTGGACCAGCTTGTTTCATGTTATAAAGGGGGGTCTCCCTCCCGACACCCTCTCCTAAAGAAACGTGAGACTTGAGCCCTCCTAGAGGGACTGGCAGCTAATACCGGTGTCCAGGGAAGGCAAATGAGAAAGCTCCACGGGTGATGACTCAAGGCCTCGCCTCTCTGCCACCCCAGATCCTGATCTCAGCCGATGATGAGATGGAGGAGTCCGACATGGAGGAGGACCTCCGCAGACTGACCCCCCTGAAGCCTGCGAAGAAAAAGAAGCACCGCTTTGGACTGCCTGTATGACACATTCCCATGCTGGGAGTCAGGTTCAGCACCAGCCAGCTGCTGGGTCAGCAGATGGCCGCTCTGCTGCGTCGTCCCTCCTTCCTCTCTGCCCCTCCTCTTCTACCTCCACTCCTCTTGCTGTCTCTGCCCACTCCCAGACTACTGTGACTCGAGAGAGGGATGACGAGCCAGCGCCGAGGGGTCGTGGCAGTCGGAGGTCCCCACTCAGTTGCACTACAAACACTGACCAAATATGCAAGCGAGGCGTTTTGTTTGTTTGTTGTTGTCCCGAACTGTGCTGTGAGGGACCCAGAGCCCATCCTGTGTCTGGTGGGGTGGCGTTGAGGAAGGGGACACACACCTAGACCGGGGAGCTTTCCTCAAGGCTCGGGGAGTGTGAGACATAATATGTTTGGGGCTAAAAGTCACTCATTGACCAACTTGGAACCGCAATGCTTTCTTACTCAAAATGGCTTTTGTAACTATTGATTTCTAAAGCCGGTTTTATGAGCTGTCACAGTGTTAATGTTTTTTAAGTATGTGTTTATTTCCTATGGGACTAATGGGCAAAACATAGATTTTTAAGTCTTCCGTACGCTGTTGACTTTTATATTTTTAAGTTATATTTTCATACTATTGTATTTAAAAACTTTTTAATCCCCAAAGAAATGGGTTTGTTTGCCTTTAGTGGGATGCAAACTGGTGGGAGGAGAAAGTTGAAAGTTTTTTATTTGGAATATTGTTAGGTAATCTCCTGCAATAAGATGAGGTAAATGATCCTCTCGGAAATCAGCAAACCCAGTGGCTCTGTCAAGGTCAGACCTGAGCCCGAGGGAGCTGGTCTGAGCTTGGACCCAGGCCCAGGGGCATGTGGACCAGGAGGGCCTCTGCCCCCGGGCATGTCTGCTGGCAGGTTAGAGGTCTTGGTTAAATGTGACCAAGAAAGGAGCCTCAGCGTCTCTGTGTCCAGAGAAATGGAGACCCTGAGGACATCTTGTCTGTTCCCGCTCTGTCTTTGGAGCATCCAAATCTTACGCGCGACGTGCCATCTCGGCTGCCTAGTCACAGCCTTTAGAGCCAGCCTCTGGCTGCCGCCTCTCAGGTGCCCCCATGCCTGTCACCTCAGTGTTGGCCACTTGTATGGCACAACAGTCTAGAGTGCGCCTGCCTGGCCGAGTGATCCTGTTTCACACACCCCACACAGCAGTGGGGTAATGGGGTGAGGTGGGTGGAGGTGAAAGAGCTCATTCTCTATGTCCACAGGCAGGACTAAGTGCTGCTAAGCTTGGGCCCCCCCTTGGACAGTAGCCCCACCTCTTAGCATAGACACAGGGCCCTGGTGTTCGGGGAATCTGCCAACTGACAGTGGAAAGGCCTGACCTGGGTACCTGTCTGGCTATGAAAGCAGCAGGGTGGGGCGGCTCAGTGCTTCATCATGGCCCAGAGGCAGCATGAAGGTTTAGGAACTGAAGTTGCTCCTCGAAGGTGTGAGCTGGAAGTGAGACAGGTGCAGGGAGGCCACCTCACCCAGAACCTTCTTTTTAGACCTAAATAAAAATGTGTTTCACTTAAGCATGTTGGGTCTAATCATGGTGTGTGAGACAAGCTATTATACCACACACCCTGGGCCTGTCCACCTCTTGCAGTCCCACCTTCTGGGACGTGGGGAGACCTCAGCCCATCTTCCTCCCCAGAGAAGGTTGGAAGGTTCTCCCCAGACCTTAACTGCAGGAGGAAGTGACTGTTAGTGCAGGTGTCTGTGATTAGGTGAAGCCAGGCTTTGTGTGAACTCGGTTCCATCCCCACTCACACATCACTGTGCTCTCATTTGACTCTCTTCAGCCCCCTCCCATCTGCTGTGCTAGTGGGTGTCTCCCCACTGGAGACCCTGAGTGACTGGAGCAAGGCCATAGGGAAGACCAGAGCTGGCGTTCCTGGTAGACGTCAGCCCCTCGTGCCATTGCTCACTCTCCTTTTTTATCCCTCATGTTTCATTTGGTTTGAATAACCTTTGCTCACAGCTATTCCCACACCTCCCTGAAGCTCAGAATTAGAATATCACTTTCCGTCTTGAGTTCCTGATGTTTCCAGACCTGTGACATGGGGCTGGGGGAGCCACAATCTATGAAAAATGGAACGTACGCGTTATATAGACCTCAGATGATCTGCTATGGCGAGGCTCATCCCAGCTGCTTCTGGGCAGTGGGTTTGGAACTAGAAAGGTGACGAGTGAGTGCCTGGTTTTCCCTGTATCCTAATTTTCAATAAGGGCTTTAGCTTCTAAATGACAGTTGTTTAGTAGGTTAACCAGGGGATGGTTGTCTAGTAGGTGCTGATCATAGAGGGCTTCATGGTATGCAGGTGTGAACAGCGTGGGCTCACGTGTTTGACTGTGTGTGTGTGTGTCTGTGTGTGTCTGTTTGCATCCCCTGGTTTGCTTGCTGCAGTCACTAGGGGCTTTTCTGCGGTGCCGTATCCCATTAGAGAGTGAGTATAGAGGGCTGTGGTCAGGATTTCCTCCCGAGCTGTCCTCCTTCCTGGGGATGAGTTTCCTCACCACCTGCTTCAAGGTGCCTTACAAGGTGCAGCTCTTCACTTGGCCACATAGTAAGCATCACTGTGCTTGAGAATCGATGGGACACCAAGTGGATATTGTGCACTGTTGATCTGATTTGTCCAAATCTAGATGTTGGTGAAAATTTGTAAGTCAAAGCTGTGAACAAGTTTCTTATACTAATGGAAATAATCTGATGGCGTAGAGCAGTAATATCTGATTGGGAGAGATCACTGCTGCCCTTATTTCCTTTTACTCTCACTGGGATGTTGAAAGTGGCAAGGAGGGATGTTGGTGAGGTGGCAGTGAGTCCGTGGTACGCTCAGCCCAGAGACCTGCAAGGTGAAGGTCTGTGACTGTCAGTTAGCCCTTGTTGCGATGCTAGCCTCAAGCTTTACCTGTGCCCCTCCCTGGCAACAGGGAGGCATGGGTTAATGTTGGCCTGTCCTGCCTCTAAAGGGAAAGTATATAAAGGCTCTAATTCAAGTTGTAACTCCTCTTAGGCAATGTAGACATGTGGACTGCAGCCCAGAGTCCCCATCTGAAGGTGCCCCGGGAGCCTGGAGGGACCCCACTCTGCCCTCCAGATGAAGATCACTGGCCTTTTTGTGGCCAGGCCAGCATGTGTGGCATTGCTCTCATGAGGGACTTCTGTCTCACCTGCTAGCAGCCCCTTGAGCTCCTGGGGAAGTAGGTGGGTTGGTTTGATTTGATTTCTCTTTTCATGAACTTTATTAGAAGTCAGACCTATGTGAGCAAACCATGGCTACTTCCGCTGCCTCCTGGTGGGGTGTTTAATCAGTGGTGGTGTGATTCACAGAAACACATTTTTGAAATGAAAGGGAAGATGATGTACTTACATTGTAAAATGGTTTACAATAAAGATTGACATCTTATTACCATTTTTTAAAAAAGAAATCATCACTTTTGTGGTTGTTGGTTGTGTGTTCTGTGGTGGTGAAACAGCTAAGTGGGATCAAAAAAGTCCCCAATTAGTTGGAAGGTTTTCCCCAGGAAGCAGGGTAAAAGTGAACCTTGACGCAGCCTCCTGGCAGAAGTGAGGGCCAAAGTCAACCAAGGGAAAAAGCAAACATGCTCTTGCCATTTCCACTTCCCTGCTACTGTTCATAAAAGCTACTTTGCCTCCCTCTGAAGAGCGTGTTGTGCCGGGGTCATGCAGAGTAAGGAGTGAACAGCCCACATCTTTGTCCCAGAGACCTCTGGGCTAGACGGCAGGTCCTCTCTGAGCAGGGCCAGCTATAGGTATTGCCGAAGCATCCGGGGAGCCAGCAGCAGGCTGGGCTGCCCTCAGCTGTCTCTCAGAGTTGTCGCAAGCCCTGGGTTTGTGCCCACAAACCTGGGCTGTTCCAAGGCATTCCTCATGTCAGCATTTGTTCTCAGAGCCTAGCAGTCCTTGTACTGGCCCCAAGGACCATGGCTGGGGGTGGGGGACCGGAGGTATGACAGCAGCAGAGTGGCATTTGGGGTAACTGAATGTCAGTGCCTGGTTGGGTTCCGTCTGCCTGGAGCCTTCAAGGATAAAAATAATCTCCATCATGAACTGATGAGGAGCTAGAGTATATCTCACCCCACAGGGCGGGGCCTGACCTTGTCCCACATCCACTCCCCACACTCATCCCAGGCTTAGCTCTGCTTTGTGCCTCAGGGTCTTCCCTGACGAGGCTGGGCTGTTCGGAGCTTCTATGTTACCTCTCAGGGGAGCCCTTGGGCCTTTCACTCTCAGCTCCGTACTGGGAATGGGTCACATTCTTGCCTCTCTGTCAGCAGCCTAACCTATCTTCAGGCCAGAACCCTCCCAGCGACCTCATCTAGTCAGGCACTGTATGTTTTGTGTTTTCAACTTGACAGCACCGTCCCCAAACTGCCTGGTTTCCTTCCGATCCTTCCTGGTTATTCTACCCCCTGCCTTCTTCATCCCTTTGCTAAAATTTGCACTGGGAACCAGACAGAGGTGGGGGCATCAGTCAAAACACAGAGGGAATAGCTCCGTAGGTTTCCCTTGGCCTCACTATTTCCACCTGTGAGCTAGTGGAGTAGCCCCAGTGCTCTGAGTCCACTGCGAGGTCTCAGTGAGCTCCCCAAGAGCAAGTGTTCCCAAGCGCCACACAGGAAACCCGGCTGCGCAGCAATGGAAAGTCTCTTTCCGCTGGAATCCAAGGAGGGGTCGAAGAGAAGGAAAACAAGTTCAGAGCAGTCCAATCTGGCTCAGAGCCCTCCCTTTCCTTAGGGACACCCTATCCCCAACACACACACACACACACACACACACACACACTTGCACACACTATTGCTGACGGGCAGCTCAGCCCGCCACACACATTCCACGACCCACATTCATAAACACTCAAGTTACTGCCAGTCCCAGCACTTCCCACCTGCAAATAGAGCAGCTGTTTCCCAGGGTACAGTCTCCCCAGCTGTCTGCTTTCCCCAGGGCTGCAGCCCACCAGGCACAGCGCTCAGCGAGCCCCTGTCATCTCCAAGAATAAACTCTGAAGCCGGTGGCTGTGTGGACCTGAATCATCAGAGAGCCTGTCAGAGGGGAGTGACTTCTCACGCAGGCAAGCAGACTATATAAGCTCCAGAGGGCCAGGCGCTGCTCAGTCTCTCCTGCCAGCTCCTGCCTGCCAGCGAGGACCTTCAGGGCAGCCCTGTACTGCACCCACCATGTCCCAGGTAGGAGAACCCCACACAAGCCACAGTGGTGCCAGGGGTTAGGGTGGAGAACTGAACACTGCCATCTTTGGCAAGTACGACCTGAGCTGAGCTCCAGGCATAAACAGGAGGCTTTGCAGCCCCTGGGGTGGAGGTGGGGGTTTCAGGAAGGGTAGGGGAAACGTGTGACTCCAAGATCCTTGGCATGTGCCTCTGTATGTGTGTGAGGGGGCTGCTTGTATGACTTGATGTGTGGAGTTGTGTTGTTTGTAGCCATGTGTGGCATGTACCGAGACTGGCTGTAAGTGTACAACACTCTGCCTAGGTTTCTCCTCACCAGGAAGTATCTCTGAGTCGCCCGAGGAGCCTGGCCCAGGCTGACAACAGGGAGTCCCTGCACCTACCCCCAGGGCTTAAGGAATAAGGCGCCAGTCTCATGAGTGCCCAGGGCTTCTGTGACTTCATGGACATTTGGTTTTTTTACCCCATTCCCACCATAAAACAAAGTAAATACTGACAATTTAGGGGGAGGGGCCATCCCTAAGGGAACCCCCGTCACCCAGTGAGACTTGGATTCACCAAAAGTCTTGGATTCGGCCTCAAAGCCCTATGCCATTATGCCCAGGCCTGAGTTGGCCAGAGAGATAGTATGAGGCTGCAGCAGCCACCTTCAGAGAGCTCCCAGTCTGAAAGAAGGGCAAAAACTTGGGGGTTTAGGGGATCAGTATAGCTGGAAGGCTTCCTGGAAGAGGAGTGGGGCCTTGAATTGGCTTGAGTTCAGGGAACAGGGAAGGGGTCTGGGGCCAAAGCGCAGAGGCTGGAAAGGGATCTCAGCACTGAGGCCTCAGGTTGTGAAATAAGGCTCTGGGCTCTCCAAGGCTGGGGCTCAGGAAGCTCCCATCAAGAAGAAGCGCCCTCCTGCGCAGGAGGAAGACCTGAAGGGGGCTCGATGGAACCTGACCAAGAACCAGGAGATCAAGTCCAAGACCTACCAGGTCATGCGGGAGTGTGGTGAGTGATCCCCGGGGCCGTGGGGCAGGGGCTTGGATGTGTGTCAGTGTTGGGAGGGGGAGCGAAGGGGAGTCCCCTGGGTGCTTTTCTGAGAGATCAGACTCCAGGACTCAGGAGGGCATTCCCCACAAAATGGACCTCCCCTGCCTAGGAAGCCTGCAGGCCCCTGACCGTACCTCCTCCCTGTCTCCCCACAGAGCAAGCCGGCTGCACTGCCCCCTCTGTGTTCAGCCGTGCCAGGACAGGCACCGAGACGGTCTTCGAGAAGCCCAAAGCCGGACCGCCCAAGAGTGTCTTTGGCTAAGAAGCATATACCATTCCCCTGGCACCTGCCAACACTTAGACACAGGAGCCTTGCCCAAGAACTTTTTTTTATGCCAGTATGTACCTCTCACATGCCACCTCTGGGACTGCCATCCCCACAACCTAGGACTCCGCACCTGCACCTGGAAAATGCCAATAAAGAGGATACCCAAAGTGGCCCAGAATTTGGAGGGTGTTGGTTGGGCACCAACTGTGTTCACTTAAGTGTCAGGGTGGGGGGTATGGGGTGGGGGTTAGGGCATGTTCTGTTCCCTTCATGAACTTTGGGGGCGGGTTCCAGAGGATAACAAATATACTATTATGGCCACTGCCACATTCTAGAAGGCACATCCATTCTTGGATGTAGAGTCCTGGCGCCGACCTGTGTGATTTCAGACCTTTCTCTCCTTTGCTGTGCCTCGGTTTCCCTTTTCATGTGACAAGTTTAGCTGGAGCCTATTATATAAAACAGGCCCCAGTGACACTGCTCAGAGAAAAGCCAGTCAGGTGCTGGAGCTCAGCCCTCACTTCTACGGAAACCGAGATTCTTCCAATGACCCCAATGCTCCGTGGGAACCTGGGACCTCAGAGCCTCCTTTCCCCTGCACTGCGGGTCACACTGCCTCCTTGCCAGCTGGCATCCCCTCAAAGAGAAAGCCAGGCTGAGGCTCCTCTCTGGCCAGTGGCAGTCCACTTCCTGAGCTACTCTTCTCCCAAACAGGGTGAACCACCCCAACTCTGCCTCAGATATGGAAACACGAGGTCTCAGCTCATGTGCAAATGTTCCCTCCAGACCTCATTGTCCTGTCCCCTGTGTCATGGAACTGTCCCATTCCAGGGACTAGAGGCCAGTCCAGCTGTGACAGCAAGACCATGGGCCGACAGTGGCTCCTCTGGGACTGGACTGGCACCACTTGGGCTGGCAGTGCCTGGCTCAGGACTGATGCCTGATGAGAGCCGTTCCCACGGCCCTGGACAGCCTGGCCTCCTTATTTAGCTGTTTCTAGGCTGGACTGTTTCTCTGAGCCCCAAGAGAACAGACCTTCTGTGGGAACTGCCGAAGGGGTGTGTCCTGTATACTCCTAATCATATCAAGATCCAAAAGCCCAGACTGTATAGATGTACCCAGAGATGAGGCTTCAGGCTGTAGTCGTGCTAAGGAGGGGAACTTTGCAGCATAGACACGGCACCAAAGTCCACAATGCCCTTTCCCCAGGGCCAGATGCTAAACTTGTTGAAGAGACCCCTCCCTGGCCTTTCAGAAGCCAGTAATTGCCCCAGAGCCCTGCATTGGCCCCTGGTGTGCCCCTTTGCACCTGCCTTGGTATTCCCCAAGGTATTCCCCAACTGAGGATTTGGCCCCTGGCCACACTGAAGCATGTTTACCCCTCCTGTGGCCATAGACTCAGCACACACTTTCCCCCAGGGACACAGCACTGGCTACATTCAGAGCATTTAATAGTTCTTCTCTTCACTGCTGAATTTTAAAAAGTGTTTCAACTTTATTAAAGGATAATTGGAAAAAAATCAACCTGTGATCCTATCTAGGCCCTTGGGTCTGGGCACATGACGGGTACTGCCTTGGTGTGCTGATAATGGATGTGCTGCCCTCTCACTCTCAAGCCACATTCCTGGGCCCCGTTGGTACAACTGACCTCCCCATACACACACCACACCCAATCCCCCCTCAGGATCTCTGCATGGTAAGCTCTGTCTTCTCAATAAATTCTCAAAAAAAATAAATTTTTTCTCAAATTCTCAGGAGTGAGACCTCCAGGTCACAAGGTATGGACATCTTTGTCACTCAGTTTGTATTGCCAATGGATGTGTTTTGTTTCAGGGGCCTTGCTGGAGCTGACCCAAGAGCCCTGGGGCCCAAACAGCAGCCTCGGACCCCAGGCAAGAGAAGGGGGCCTGCTGGGTTCAGCACCTCTCACCTTAGATATAAGGCATATCTGTCCTGCCTTGGTCCCAGCAGTTCTTGCCCCTCTCACACACCCATAGGGGCTTCTCAGTGCCTTTAGGGTCCCCACTGTCCAGTTACACTAACCTGGCTCGCAGGCCCCCTCCCCAGAAGCTGCCTTTAGCACTCTTCCTCGGCATCCCTCTTTCTCCCCCAGGCGGGGCTAATGGAGAGGTGGGGGGGCTCACTTTGTGTCCCCAGCACTGGGGAGCTTATTGGTAGAATGGCTAATCTGAAGGGTGGCAGCCTGGGGCCTTTCTGGACCTTTCAGAAGGGGCTCCAATACCCGACTCCCACCTCAGCCTGCCCGTCCTCAGTACATGTCCTGCCCCAGCCAAGGTCCACTGGACACTCCCAGTTAGCCTGCTTATCTGAGGCCACTGCGGTTTTTGGCTTATGGATCCCAATTTCCCAGAACCTGCCCCCGCGGGGGCGGGGCCTCAAGCAAGTTACTAATTCATTCCCCACTTCCGCTCAAGTTCAGAAGCAGCCTGCTAGGCACTGGAGCCAAAATGAAGACCCCAGCCCCTGTCCGTGCCCGTGGCATCGGGCTGGTCCTGCTCTCACTTCTTCTTGTCCTCCAGACTGCCACTGCCCAGAAGGTAGCAGGCATCCATGGGTGCCTGTGTGTGTGTGTGTGTGGTGTGTGAGTGGTGAGAGACACAGAGGAGAGCCTATGTGTACAAGTAAGTGCAGGGTGTGTGCAAAGGAAAGGCACTATCTGCCAGGCACTCCCCCAGGGCTTATGGATACTGTCTCATTTAACAGAAGGGGTGAGCCCACTATTCACATGTTACAGGTGAAGAAATGCAGCTTAGCAAGATGTCCCTGGAAGCCAGCAGTGGGTGGGTGGGTGGGAATGGGTTTTATGAGCCTGGATCTCCTGCTACCCCTCCCCAGCCCTGCAACCCAGAAAAAGTAACTTATGCTTTCTGTGTCTGTTTCCTCTTCTGTGAAACAGGATAATAATAGAACCTATTGGGAAGTTTATCATAAGGATCAAACCTGTTGTATCTAACAAGGGCTCAGTCCAGTGCCCGGCACTGTAAACGTGTGAACGAGCCTCTCGGCCGGCCACACTCTGTGCTAAACTGCACGTGCGCTGAGCAGAGCCAGTGTGAGCACAGTGCGCTACATAGGCGGGAGTGTGAGCCTCCGTGTGTGCGCGTGTGGCCTTCCTCTTGTGGTGAGGGGTCAAGAGCAGATGCTGGGATGCCCTGTGGGCTTGGGTGGGAGTAATGGGGAAAGGAGGCAAAGAGGGAGATTCCCACCTCTTGGAGACTGCATCCTTGTTACCTGCAGGCCCCTGGTAGAGACTGGGGGGCTGTTTTCCCCAGTTTCTAAGGAGGCCAAAGTCACTAGAGGTCAAAAGCCTACTGCCCTTTCACTGGGCAAGGCTCGAACAGCACAGGAAGCTTTCCCACCCACCAGGGCCCTCTGACGCTCCCCTTCCCCCAAAGGACAAGTGTGAGTCCCTCCCAGAAACACTGGGGCTTGGACCCCAGCCCACACATGTGCTTGTCCCCAAGGGGCACTGTGGGCCCTGTGGCACTGCAGAGCAGGAAGGAGGCACGCAGCTGCACATGTTCACACAGGAAGTGCTTACTTCAGGGGTCTTAGCCTCAGGTCTGGGTAGTGAGGGCCCATCTGGATGGGGACCAGGGCTTGGTCTGGGACCAAGGCTCATCCTTGCAGAGTGTTGTCCCAGCTGGGATGGCACTGACCACCCCCCACCCCCTTCACTGCTCCAGAATGACATCGACATCTACAGCCTCACCGTGGACTCCAAGGTCTCCTCCCGATTTGCCCACACGGTCGTCACCAGCCGGGTGGTCAACAGGGCCAGCACTGCGCAGGAGGCCATCTTCCAGATGGAGCTGCCCAAGAAAGCTTTCATCACCAACTTCTCCATGTAGGTAGCCTCTCTCCTCGCCCTCCCCCAATCCAGCACTGAGGCACCATCTCCCTCTCCTTCATGTGAGGGGTGCCACGATGCACCCCTTAGTGTGTGTGCTCCACTACAGGTAACCAGGACTTACCTGGCCACTTCACGCATCCTCAGAGGCCTTTCCATCCCTCCCGCCATCCTTTTATTCCTTGCTCCCTTCTCCCCCTCCTCTCTCATTCCCCTCAGCCCTTCCTCCACCCATCTCTCCCCCATCCCTGCTCCATCCTCCCCAGCCTTCCCTCCCCCTCCTTCCTTCGCACCCCTCCCTCCTTCCCTGTCTCCCTCCATCCTTCCCTCAATCTCGCCACCCCTCTGTCTCCCTTCCCTCCCTGCCTGCCTCTGCCTGTCCATCTACATCCCTAAGTGCTGCCCAAATGGCAGGTGGGGACCCTGGCATCTCCGTGTCTCTTTGAGGAGTAGAGACTGGGCATCCTGAGGTCAGGCACAGACGGAGGGACTCACCAAAAGGCAGGCTCTAGCTCAGAATGCAGAAAAGTAAAACAAAGGCAAGCATACCAAAACTTCCTAACTGGCTCCACAAAGGGGCAAAACCTTGAGCTGAGGGAGCCCTCTGTACAGGGAGCTCTAAGCCAGGCTAGCTCCTGCCCCTGACTGGGGTCCTTTCTCAGTCTGAGGCCATGCTGGGAGGTGTCCATGTTCTTTGTGGACTGTGAGCTGGTGACCATCCTCACCTTGTCCTCCACAGTCCTCCCCCACCCCTCCCAACTCAGTTTTGCAATGTTTGCCAACCACAAGAGAACTCTGTCCCTAGCCCACAGGAGAGGCAGTGATGGAGCACAGGCCAGAGAGAGGCTGAGCCTAGAGACTCTGGAGGGTGATGAGCTGTGGGGTGCACAGTTGGTGTCTCAGGCGTGGTCCACATGGTGGCCTGTGACTTCTGGAAAATTACAGAGGAGGCCCAGTCCCTGTGGTTGGCTCCTCCCTCTCTCCCTGCCCCACCTCCCACAGTTGCCCCTACCTTTCCTAACCTGGGATCCCAGGTCCTGTGTTGCCCTTCTTGTACGGTGAGCCTCATAGGCTGTGCCCGGTCTCCCACATGGTGCAAAGGTCACAAGGTTCTGTTGTATCTGCTCAGAACCCGCGACTGGCACCCTTTTCTGGGCCCAGATCCTGTTGCTGCATCAGGTAGGGAAGTCGGGTCAGGGCACCTTGCTCTGATCTGCAGCCTGCTGGAGGCCACACTGGATACCTGGGAGGAGGAAGCCTGAGGCCCACACACAGACCCCATTCCTGCCCCAGAATTAAAAGACAACCAAGAAGGTGTGGAGGAGGGACACTTGGTCCTGAAGTCTGGCCGCACACCCACCACACCCCAGCACATTTCCACACTTTTGGGCCACCCCAGACAAGCAGGCCCCTGTTGACTTGACGTGGCCTGACTCTGCCCACAGGTGGTCTGGAGTAGTCATTTACTTTCCAGAAAAACAGGCCAGTAGGTCTTTCTCGACCTCAAAGAAACACCATGAGGATTGTGTCCACACCCCTAGGAGTCCATCCATCAGTTGTCCAAAGCCTCCTTTCCCAGAGGCCAATCTCTGTGTGGAGGCTAATCTCCCTGCTCTGTGCCGGGGGTAGAAGGGTAGTCACAGGCCACAGTCCAGCCAAAGCAGCTGGTCAAGAGGGGTCAGAGCTTCTCTACCCCATGACTTCACTGCTTCTCAATCCTCCACACAGCTGGACACGGCTGAGCACATGCCACTCAGAAAGTTCTCGTTGGTCATTACTGGTTCCTCTGTCTGTGAGGTGGAAGGGCTGAATTAGAATATGGGGCCATGACCTCGCTCAACTGAGCGCTCAACTCTTCTGCAATCTCCCTCCTCTCCTCACTCAGTAAAATGTGTGTCTGCTAACATTCTGTGTGTCTGGGGCCTGGTGTACCCACTCACTCACATGGGGTCCTACCCAGTCTTGTATAGCGTAGGGACATAATAAACGGGAGTGGGCTTGTGCAAAGATGGGAGTCACTCTGTCGAGAGGCACACCAGATCCCTAAAAGTCTCCCTGGGGGAGGCAGTTTGGAGCGCCCCTCCGCCAGTCTTTCTGCAACTCCCTCCCTCCTGCCCCAGGATCATCGATGGTGTGACCTACCCAGGGAACATCAAGGAGAAGAAGGCAGCCCAGGAGCAGTACAGTGCGGCCGTGGCAAGGGGAGAGAGTGCTGGCCTAGTCAAGTGAGCTCAAGGGGTTTGGGAAGGAAGCCCAGTGGGGGTGGGGCTCCTTGGTCCCCTGGCCCTCCACCCTCGCTTTCAACCCTTTATTCTTCCTCACACCTCCAGTGGCCATGTCCCACTTAGCCTGGAGGGGTAGACCTCATGCCTTCTTCCCCCAGGGCCACCGGGAGAAAGACAGAGCAGTTCCAGGTGTCCGTCAGTGTAGCTCCCTCTGCCAAGGTCACCTTTGAGCTGGTATATGAGGAGCTGCTTATGCGGCATCTGGGAGCGTATGAGCTGCTGCTGAAAGTCCGGCCACAGCAGCTGGTCAAGCACCTGCAGGTACCTGGCTCTGCCTTCTCACAGGAGGCCCCCTGGATGACACGTGCTCTGCTGCAGATGGCCCCCTCCCCCCACAACCTCGGGTCAAGTCCAACCCCGACTCCCTTGCTGACCCATGCATGACCTACATCTTCCCTCCAGATGGACATTCACATCTTCGAGCCTCAGGGCATCAGCTTCTTGGAGACTGAAAGCTCCTTCTTGACCAATGAACTGGAGAACGCCCTCATCACCTCACAGAATAAGACCAAGGTGGGCTTGCCAGGGGACCAGGCCAGAGGACCAAGGGGCCTGTCGTGGGGCCAACCCCTGAGCCTGGGTTTCCAGAGAGTGGGGCTATTGGGCCGAACTCTGAGCTCTCTGTGACTATGCTGTCATTTAGCAGATGGGGAGGGGCAAGACCTAGAGAAGAGAGAGTGCTGGTTTGACCCTAAAATAGGGGTTGAAGGACATAGAGTGGACACTGATGTGAGGGCCCCAGGACCAGAACGAGAGGAGTGAGCTGGATCCCACACCTCCTGAGCTCAGCCTGTGTTCACACAGCAACTGGAGGAGGGGGTCCCTCTCACCCCACCTCACTATAGAGGGTGTTGATAAGTATGACAGCTTGACCTGGAAGAAAATTCCCTGGAATCTGACCTACCTCTGCCTCCTAGAATTCTCACTTCCCATTATGCAGGTGGACTGGGGAGTGTTAGCATGACCTTGCTGCCCTTGTTGCTTTTCCAGGCTCACATTCAATTCAAGCCAACACTGTCCCAGCAGCAAAAATCTCCTGAGGAGCAGGAGACTGTCCTGGACGGCAACTTCATCGTCCGCTATGATGTGGACCGGACCCTCTCCGGGGGCTCCATTCAGGTGAAGGGGCTCTAGGCCAAAGCAGGGTGACCAGGGAATCCTGCCACTTTCAAGGGCCTGAGCTTGGGTATTCTAGAAGAAAAAACAAAATAACCACCCCTACTTATTAATGTGAACCAGGAGCCAACACAGACAGAAAAAAAGCAGGGTAGCTGTTTTATCCTTGAAATGATTCCTTTTTAGTAGTAAAAATGGTTCATTTCTGCTAAAGAGTTGCCTTGCCTGTTTTTTCTTATTTTCTTGGCTGCCAGAATGTTCACAGTTCAGCCTCATTATGCTCAATTGAAGTAGTATTTTTCACACAAGTTTTTGGCACTACTTCCCTTCCCCTTGACTCTTTCGATGAATGCGATTTGGAGGTTTTGCTCTTTTTAATGGATCTCAAGGATAAGATGCCTCAAATACTAAAGCAAATAGGAGGCAAAGCAGACAGGGGTAGAGTTCCATGGGCCAGGTAGGAAGGGTCCTAACAGATGGCAGGCATTTGGGGAGGTTAACAGTAGGCAGGGATAGTGGGGGTTGGAACAAAGGCTCAAGGATTCAGGGTAGAGGGCCTGGCTGGGACAGGGCAGGACGGCAGCTCTCATTACCTGGGTGGTCTCACTGTTTACAGATCGAGAATGGCTATTTTGTGCACTACTTTGCCCCTGAGGGTCTGCCCACCATACCCAAGAATGTGATCTTTGTCATCGACAGGAGTGGCTCCATGAGTGGCAGGAAAATCCAGCAGGTGGGTCCTGGGGGCCAGGGCAGGGACCTGAAAACTCAGGTCTACAGGCAGATCCCCCCTTCTCCAAGGTCCTGGATGGAGATATCTCTGGGGTCAGAGTCCGTGGCAGGTTCCGCCCCTAGAGCATTCATCAAGTCCCCGCTCCCGACAGGAGTCTGGGAGTGCCAGCCCAAGGACACATGAGCCCCCAAGGAGGCCCCACTGAGATACACACCTTGTCTCCCCTCCCCCTGACCAGACCCGGGAAGCCCTAATCAAGATCCTGGGCGACCTCAATGCCAACGACCAGTTCAACCTCGTTGATTTCAGCGGGGAGGCCACCCAGTGGAAGCCCTTGCTGGTGCCAGCCTCAGCAGAGAATGTGAACAAGGCCAAAGGCTATGCTGCTGAAATCCAGGCCCGGGGAGGTGAGTGTCCCTGTAGGCATGCAGGACAGGGGCATCCAGGGTGCCAGGCTGGGACCCACCCTGAGTGTGTGCCCCTCAGGGACCAACATCAACAGTGCGATGCTGATGGCCGTGAAGCTGCTGGAAACTGCCAACCGACAGGAGCTGCTGCCAGCCAAGAGTGTCTCCATCATCATCTTGCTCACCGATGGCGACCCCACCGTGGGTGAGTCACCACCAGCAACTCCAGGCCATGCTGCCTGGATGCAGCTACTGGGGCTCCACCCTGGCTTGCTGTGGGGCCTGTGGCAGGGGGATTCTCTTAGGGCCCCTTGGCTCTGAGAAAATTACTGTTTTCTTACCCCATTTCCAAACTGCTGGGCAGGGGAGACCAACCCTGTGAAGATCCAAAAGAATGTGCAGGAAGCTATAAGTGGCCGGTACAGCCTCTTCTGCCTGGGTTTCGGCTTTGACGTCAGCTACCCCTTCCTGGAGAAGCTGGCACTGAGCAATGGCGGCCTGGCTCGGCGCATTTATGAGGACTCAGACTCCACCCTGCAGCTCCAGGTGCTGGCATGCCCTGGGTGGGCTGCATGAGGACGGGATGGCGGAGATGGTGAACCCACCCCAGCCCCACCTGTGGTACTCCCCACCCTGCAGGACTTCTACCAGGAGGTGGCCAACCCCCTGCTGACTGGGGTGACCTTTGAATACCCGGACAATGCTGTGGAGGAGGTCACTCAGAACAACTTCCGACTGCTCTTCAAGGGCAGTGAGATGGTGGTGGCTGGGAAGCTCCAGAAACAGAACTCCGATGTGCTCTCAGCCAAAGTCAATGGGCAGCTGGTGAGTGTGGCCAGTGATCCTGGAGGGGCAGGGCAGCAGGGGCAGGCAGCCAGAAGGGCTGGGTTCAAACCTCAGCCCTGCCAGGTTTCAGTTAGTTGACTTCAGCAAGTCACCAAGTGCTCTCTGCCACTTGTGGACGACACTGGTCCCCATCACGTGGGCTTATGGCTGATGAGATAATGTTGTGACCTGAGAACACCTGTGCGGTCTGGCATGCGGTAGGTACTCAGCAGTCAGACACACTGCTCTCCTGAGGACACAGGCAATTGGCATCCCCTCCCAAGCTCATGCCAGTCCTCTGAGGTTGCTCTTGGATGGGAAGGCTGCTCCCGTTTCACAGATGAGCAAACTGAAACCGCAAGAAGGCAGGGAGCTTTCTCTGGGCCCCAGTGTAGCCATGACCTGGCTCATCAAGGTATCCTGTCTTGCCCAGCCTTCCTACCTCTGTACTAGGGGCCGCTCTTGTTCCACCAAAAGAAGCGGTGTACCCTCTCTGTGCCAGCTCCTCTGGCTTCACAGGAGAGAGAGAGTGGGCTGGGACACCTCTGACAGGATAAACCTGGGGACCCAGGAGAATAGTACTGAAAGCCCCAACCTGGCCTGGCATTCAGGGAGACCTTCCTGGAGGAGACTCTGCTAAGACTGAGGGATAAGTAGTAGGTGGCAGAGATCAGATGGCAGAGTGATGGAGGAATGTTCCAGGCTTGTGTGGCAGGCAGGAAGCTTTCATGGGGAGAATAGCAGGTGGGCAAAGCAGGAAGCCATGGTGTGGCGAGGACCTTGTCTCAGAAGTAGCCGCATGTCATGAGGGGCAAGCTGTGCCTGTCCTGCCTGATTCCAGTCTACCGCTTCCACTTCCCAGAGAGGAGGCTGGGGCAGGTCACTTAATCACCTTGTGCCTGTTTTCACCTTTCCACCGGGAGGGCTCTGGGGAGGATTAACCCTGGTCCTTTCATGTTAGCTGCTGCTGTTATCCCTGAGGCCAGGGGTTCCCTAAGTGTGGAACCCACTGTGACTTGGGGTAATTCACAAACAAATATGCTTTTATTTTACTGTCTTTATTTTAAGGTGTGTTCTGAAAAATAACCCAATGCTGGAGACCAGCTCCAGCTAGAAGTCGTGTCAGGGATCTCAGAAAGGAGAGGACAGAGTCGGTGAAGTTTTTTCGGAGGACTGAGGGGAAGTGGAGCGAGGTAGAAGTGAGGTAGACACAGACACTCTCTCTGGTGCAAGTATCTCCTGCTGAGGGTCTCAGCGGGTCTCTATTTATATCTTAAGGCGATTGGTGGGATTACATCAGCGTAAGCACTGAAGCAGAGAAAGACAATCAATACATATTTTCTCATGATCATGTAAAGACTCCCTTGGCCTTACACCTGTAGGCCATTTCTTTGGTAACCTAAGAACAATCAGTTTCCTAGGTACAGCTCATTGACTAGCATGATCAATCATACAAGACAGCACAACATTTGGCAACAATTAAACTTTCTCAATTACAAAGTGGGTGTAAAATTCCTATTCTATATTCAATTACTAAAATCAATTACTAAAATCAATTCTATATTCAATTACTAAAATCTCCTAGCACTCAATTAACTTGGTTAATATATTATTTAAAGTGGTCTAAAACAACTCATCAAATCTATGTAAGTTCTACTGAAGTCTAACTCTTAACTAGAAATTCCTAACCTCCACACGGCCTGCCAACTGTTGACCTCTTGCATACACCAGGGAATGTATTGTTGCCACAAACAGGTACCCCCCAGGTTAGGCTATGGTTTCCAAGCACAGCTGGTTCAGGGCAGCTTGTTCTCCATAGTTCTTAGGGCCAAAACATTTCTTTCCTAACTATACCTTTAACAATTTTTACTTCTTTTGCGATTGTTCATTCCTAAGAATAATAAGCCAATTGTCCCCTGGGTCCGAATTAGGTTTTCACATGCCAATTTATAACTAACTTACATCAGCATTAACCAAGAACAAAGAGGAGAGCATTAGCAGGCGTTGCCATGGAGACTTCCCAGTTCAGATCTTTGGGAAGTGCAAGAACTCCCTTCTTCTGGGAAATACAACTTTCCCTCTTCGGGGAAGCACAGGAACTCCCCGCTTCTCGGGAGTCTCCCCCAATGCCCGGACCATGTCAAGAGACAGCATGGGAGGCGCAGCCTGCCTCAACCCAAAGCCCAGACCTTATATTTCTCTGGTGCTATTGTTTGGAACAAGGTCAAATAAAAAGTTTTAGTCTATTTAAAATTCATTGAAGGAAAACCATCCAATAGCTGTATGTGTGGAGAGGACAAAGTTTGCAGAGGGCCTGCATGTGGGAAAACTGGGAGGCCTGTACCCGAGAGACAGGAGGGTAGTTCCAGCCGGGGTAGTTCCAGCCAGTTCCGTGGCTGCTGTGGAGAGCTGTGTGAGAAAGAGTGAGGGTTCCTTTGCCCCCAACCCATTTGCCAGGTCAGCCTGAGACTAGAGGCCCCTCCTTGGGGAGGGAAGTGGCAGTGCCCCCCAGAGCACAGGCACTCACTCACCTTGCTTTCCCATCCCACAGTGACCCAAGAGAGGACACCGACTTGGGCAGGCGATAGCTCATTGGGGTGGATGGGACCCCAACCCCATCAGGGTTCTGACCCTTGAGTTCTCAACTCTACCACTGACTGCTGGGGAAGGCTCTTCCTCCCTGCTCCCAGAGGCTCCGTCTTTGGAGGGAGAGCGGGCTGTCTCTAGGGACCCTCTCTGCTCCACACAGCACTGGCACAGCCTACACTGGCTTAGGGTTCATATCCCTCCCTCATTTCCCTTTATCCCAATCTTGATATTTTTTTTAAAGGATCCAGTTTTATTTTATATATATATAATATATATATATATATATATATTTTAAGATTTATTTATTTTTATACAAGAGCTGGGGTATAGGCCAGAGGCACAGGAGGGTGAGAGGATTCACCAGAGACAGAGTGGGGAGCAGAACAGGCAGACAACTGAAATACACTGCTGAGGGGAGCAGCAGCTGAGACAGGAGTGGTCTGCCACACCATGTGGGAATCTCCTGGCCGGCCAGGAATCGAACCCACGCTGCAGAGTCTGCGGACAGCTTCACAGTGCAGCGCTCAACCCACTGCGCCACTGGGGAGGCCCCCAAACTTGATAATTTGACTTGAACTCTTGGCTCTTGGCTGCCATGGTGCACCTGGGATAGTTTGCTACCTTTTATCTCCACCTCCTTTTATCTCTTCATCATATTTGGAGGCTCTGTGGCTGAGCCCCTTGCACCCCTAAGCTCCCTCCCTGTGCTCCACTCAAAGGAAATATGGTGCTTAGGGCCTGGAGCCTGCCAACATCCAACCAGGTTTCTTGTTGGTGTGCTCAGAAGAACCAAGCCAGGTGGGGAACCTTAGCTCTCACTGCTCCTACCCTACTTGGCCCCCTGTTGCAGCACTTGCAGAATATCACCTTCCAAATGGAGTCCAGCAAGGCAGAGCAGGAGGAGGTGTTCCAGAGCCCCAAGTACATCTTCCACGGCTTCATGGAGAGACTCTGGGCGTACCTGACCATCCAGCAACTCCTGGAGCAGATGTGGGTGGCTTGTACCCTGGAGGGCCTGCTGGGGTGGCCATGCACAGCCTCAGCACCTCCCTGGCTGAATGCAGCTGGCATGGGGTCTCCTAGGCCTGGAAAGGGGGGTCTGTTGTCACATTTGAGCCCCAGACTGTGTCAGTGGGAACTCTGGCAGGTCTGGGAGGAAGGGAGAATCGACCAGGCATCCAGAGTCCTCTGAGTTAATGTCTTCAACCTGCAGAGTTTCTGCATCAGATACTGAGAAGCCAGCACTTGAGGCCCAAGCTCTGAACTTGTCGCTCAAGTACAGTTTTGTCACTCCCCTCACATCTATGGTGGTCACCAAACCTGAAGACCAAGAACAGTCTCATGTTGTGGAGAAGCCTGTGGAAACTGGTGAGTTTGACAGTGGTGTCCCAGACTCCGCAGTAGCAGAGTCTGGACCAGCATTCTCCCAAGACCCTTCCCTGCATCCTGCCCAAGACCCCAGCCCTGGCACCCACAGATTCCCAGGAACCCTGGGAGACTCACCCTGTATCACTGATGAGGAAACTGAGATCACATCTCCTTACCCCCAATCCCCTGCCCCACCCCGATTCACTGCACCTGTTACCTAGTGGTGCTGAGATTGGGAGTAAGGTTAAGTATAACTACTTCACATTCATCAAGATCTCTATCTCTTTTTCTCCCCCTCTCTCTCCTCTCCCTCGCTCCCTCTCTCCAGAACAAAACCACGGGAGTAGTTTCCCAGGTAAGGGGCCTGATATCCTTAAAGACTAACTGGGGTGAGGGTAGCTGACATGGGCAGCAGCCCCAGGTGGTCACTGGCCAGGGCTTCTCCATCCCAACCCTGCCATCAGCAGGGGGCGGCTTCTGCCTAAACATGCTGGTGGACTTAATTACCTGTTCACTCACGTATGGTACCCTGCTTTGGGGCATAGTACCCATTTGTCTGGGAGCCTCAGAAAGGAGCATCCAAAAAGCAAGCCCAGCTCTCTCTGATTTCCAGGTCATACTCTCTTCAGATACCCCATGCTCTCTTCAGCCACCACAAACAGAATGTCCAGAGTACAAGGTAGCAAAGGGGCAGAGGGAGGGGGAGGGGAGGCTGACAGAACCCTGTCCCCTACTACAGAGGAGTCTGTGCCCTGGCTGCAGAGGGCGAGACTTGCTTGACTGTCTGGCCGGTGGCGGGCCCATGACTGAGTCCACATGTGTCTGATTAGGGGGCAGCTATACTACCTGTCTCCTCACTTAAAAAAAAAAGTTTGACGGCAAAGTGGAGGACACTGCCATAGGGTGGGGTGGGCAAGCCTGATATTCCAGTGGAGAGAAGTTCCCGATTTGAATTTCTCTCAGCTATGGGGAGAAAGGCTCTAGGAGTAGCAGGTGTGGGGAGGGGAGCCATCTGCCCCCTCACATCCCTCTCCTGGAATGGGTTCTGGGGCCCACGGGTGGGGACCTGACCCTGCTTGAGAGAAGACTGTGTGTGACAACTTTTTTAAAACTGGATTTCCTAACAAAGCATATGACCACGTAAGATCAGGACTCCCTGGCCCTCCTGCTGCTCCTGCTCCTCCCCACTTCTCTCCCTTCCGCAAGAACTGGATGCCAAGGCTAACAACAGAGATGTTAGGTAAGTCACTGTCTGCCCCTCTGAGGGCCTCAGTCTCCTCACAATGACCACGATGACACTTAGAGTTGACCAGAGTTGGAGGACCTAAAGCACCAAGCACAGGGCTGGGCACAGACCAGGAAGACTTGCTGTGGGCCACATCATTAAGTGTCCTTTATTGTCCTGTATTGGATTCATTATACTGTGGGGCCTGACTCAGCATGGAAACTTCTAGAAAGGGAAAGATTCCTCCATTTACAAAGCCACAGTTTCCAGTTTCCAAATCTGAACTCCAGAGTGTTGAGCCAGGCTTAACCCTGTCTCCTCAGGGTTTTCCCTAACAGCATGTTCTTCATCTGAAAAGCTCTTTGTAAAGCCTCTCCTAGATGAGGTTAAGTATGGCAGGGGTTGTGGACTGGAGTGTGTTGGGTGGCAGATGGCAGTGATGGCAGGAGAGCATGCTGAACCCTGACTGCCTTTTCCCTTTCTGTTTCTGGCTGTTCCTGCACTGCTTCGGCGCCATCAGCACCCGCTGCTCCTATTGAAGTGTTCCATGACATGGTTTTATTAGACAAAGGTGCTCACCAGGCCAGAACCCCTGTGGTAGACCTTTGTCCCTGGGATCTCAATGTTGAAGCAGAGTGGGGGCCCCGGACATACCCATCCGCTGGGCACTCCTGCCCTCCCAACTCCCCAAGAAAGGGCTGCCTAAACTCAGACTTTTCTTCTTTCAGAAGTAACAGTGACAATCCCACCCCCAGGTAAGTTGCCAACTCCATACCCCGCCTCACTCTTACCCCCAACCTCCTCTATCTACCCTTGGAACAACACCTGCTGTCCCAGACCTCATCCAGGCTCCTCCCGTCATCCTGCCTGGGCAGAGCAAGGACCAGCTCTGTGTGGATATCAAGCATGCTCAGGGACCAATGAACCTGCTCTCGGACCCTGACCAAGGTGAGGGGTGCCATCCAGCCATTCACCCCACCACCACCCCCCTAGGACAACAGTGGACCCCAGCCCATGGAGACATACCTGTACGGACTTGGCCTGAGCTGGCCTGTCCCACATGGTCATGCTCCTGAGCATGGTGGGCTCAGGACATTTGCATTTGCAATAACCCCCACCCTGCAGACCTTTCCCAGGGCCCCACATGTGCAGATCTGTGTGGCCTGGGTACCCTAGCTGACCAGTGTGGGCTTATGCCAAGGCACCACTGGGGGTGGGCAGACAGGCCTGAGAGCAGAGGAGCATGGTGGCCTTTGTCAGCTCCCAGAGTGACTTAGAGATGCATCCAGAGGAGGAGACACGAGCTGTCTGATGTTAAGGGAGGCTGAACAAAGTCATACAGAAGTGACTGGGCCTTGGCAGACAGCAGGGGTCTACTAGGTAGAGGAAGGAGTAGGGAGAAGCACAGAGCCCTGCAAGCTGCTGATGGGATTATGGGGTGTGGAGGAAGTGAGTGGTAAGAAGAGGTAGGGGAGCTGGCCAGACAGTCACAAATACCCCCCCCCCAAAAGTGTTTTCCTGGTCAAGCTGAGATATCAGGTCAGATGTGGGACACATAGCACTCGGGGCTGCTCACACACACACCTGCAGGGCCCTCAGGCTGCTGGAACAGCTGCCGCGTTCCTCCCAGTTCCCCATGGGCTCCCACTTCATCATGCCAGGCCTGGAATTTATTTGGTCCCTAAGTGTGGAGACCACCAGTTTTCCATCATGCTTTTGGTCATGCGCTTAGCTCAAGCCTGGGTACACTACAGGGTCTTTATGAATCTATTTCAACTTCATGAGCCCCTCCTCCCCCCTGCCACCCTGCAGAGCAATCATCACTGAGGATTTGAGGGCCCTTCCAAAGGCTGTGAAACCAAGATTGTGGGAACAGGCCCCCAGGGCAAGGGAATGCTGAGGAAGGGGGTGAGGGGAGAGCTGGTGAGGAGCACTCCCAGGGACAGAAGCAGGGAGCCCTCCCATTCAGGCCGCAGCTCTGACCACTATTCCTGGCCCTCTCAGGGGTTGAGGTGACTGGTGACTATGACACACAGAAGGCCCAGTTTTCATGGATAGAGGTGAACTTCAAGAACCTTCAGCTGCAGGTCCGAGCATCCCCCGAGCATGTGGTGGTGACTCGGAACCGAAGAAGCTCTGCATACAAGTGGAAGGAAACGCTGTACTCTGTGACGCCCGGGTAAGCCCCAGCCTGGATACTGACCATGACATCTCAGGCCAAGTTGGCTGGTGATAGTGCTGACAGGTGGCCTGAGGCCACCACCCTGGGGATGGGGTGGCCCGTCCTGTCACAAGTTCTCTGCAGTGGGCTGCACCTATGAGAGTGGTAGCTGTGCAATCCCCTTCCTGCTCTGGAGGGCACAGAGGGGGTGTCCTGGGGACCTGGCTGCCCTCATACCTGACCCAGGTCATGTCCCATGCAATATGGCTTGGAGCTAGCTCTGTTGCGTGACTCTGGGTGGACCATTTAGGTCCTCTGTGCCTTGGTTTCCTCTCAATAGCCAGAGCTAGTCACCAGTCCTGAGCTAGAGGACTGAGGGAGGCTCTAATGAGAGAATGTGGTCAAGGAGGCTTTGCCATGAGACAGTGCAGTGCCCTCCAGCACACTCTCTTGGTGGCAGAAGTAAAAATATGAGACGCTGGGCAGCACTGTCCACTGGGGGAGGGTATGAATGCTTGATGCTCTAGAGAGGAGAGAGACAAATCCATCTGGCAGCTGTAGGTAATGGGGATGAGTGGAGACCTCTCCAGGTAAGGCAGCCCCACCTCAGTGCCTTCCAGAGAAAACTCTCCCACTAAAGTCACAGGCGGCCTAGGAGAGGGGCTTAGGGTGCCAGGCCTCTTGGACCTGGGCATCCAATGCCCAGTGGGGACCTTAGCCTGTCTTTCCTGAGTCTGGGAGCTTGCCTGCCCTCTCACTGAGCAGCTCGGCAGAGACCCATTTCCACTTGACAAGCAAGTGTGCACCTAACAAGCCCAGGGGCTTGCCCAAAACCTCTCAATTTCATTAAAAATACAGATTAGTTTCCTCTCTACCTGATAAATACACAAATATCCACCTGATAAATGCACATATATATATACCAGAAGGTGGAATAAAAAATTCCTAACACTTGCAGTATACTCTCATGAGCTGCAGAAGAGACCCACAAAGTAAAATAGACTGTGTTTCTTACATTGATTTGAGGGCAGTGTTTGTTTAGGGCAGTTCCACTTAAAATAACCTCAGAGTAACTGCAGTCTTACTCAAAACGCTTGAAGGAGCCTAAGATTCCTAACAAAACCAGAAAGGTAGGAATTTCAAAAGATTAAAACAACAGGGGAAAGGATGAGAAGGGACTTGTCCTTGTAGACATAAAAACACATGATTAGGGCCTCCCCTGTGGTGCAGCGGTTGAGCGCTGGGTTGCGAAGCTGCACGCAGCCTCTGCGGCGCCGGTTCGATCCCTGGCTGCTCCCCGGCCACCGGAGGAGGGTCCCGCATGGCGCGCAGACCTCTCCTGCCGCCCGCTGCTCCCCTCAGCAGTGTACTTCGGTCCTTCTGCCTGCTCTGCTCCCCGCTCTGGCTCTGGTGAATTCTCTCACCCTCCCGCGCTTCTGACTGTACCCAGTGCTTGTATAAACAAAACAAACAAACAAATAAAAAAAAAATTTGGCTTTGTAAATATAGAAACATAGTAAAAAAAAAAAAAAAAAAAACACATGATTAAACGTTAATTTTCAAGCGAAAGTGACACTAGCCATAATAGCAAAAGGGAGGGGTGAAATGAATGAATTTCAAATGAATTAATGAGAAACCAAATCTATGATGGCTAGAGGGAAAGGAACCATTATTATTTTTTTTTTTTTTCTGCTGGCATAGCTAGATATCAGTAGGTTAACTGCGGTCGCAACTTTCAAGCGAGGAAACTGCGGCCTAGACGATTCTAGGAACTCGCCCCCAAGCTCCCACTGGGAATTTCTGAGGACGAGCATGCAGGCCTTCTCTGCTCCCCACTCCCACGGCCGCGCCTGCCTTCCTGCTCAGCACACTGGTTTCTCCACAGCCTGAAGATGACCATGGACAAGGCAGGGCTCCTGCTGCTCAGCAACCCAGACAAAGTGTCCATCGGCCTGCTGTATTGGGACGGCCCTGGAAAGGGCCTCCGGCTCCTCCTTCGGGACACTGATCGCTTCTCCAGCCACGTTGGAGGGAGCCTTGGTATGCTGCCCATGGTCTGGGCTCAGGGCATCCTCTGTGTGCCCCTCTAGTCTCCCTCTATCTTTACTCTCACTGACCCACCTTTGTACCTCAGGCCAGTTTTACCAGAACGTGCTGTGGGGGCCCCCAGCAGCAGATGACAACAGCAAGCGAACACTGAGCATTCAGGGTCATGACCGCACTGCCACCAGGTGACTCAGCACCCCTGGGCCTCCGAGCCTGGCCAGGGTGGGGGCTGGGAGACTGGGAGCTGGGCTCTGGGGAGTCCCCATTCCTCCATCATTGCCTGGAAAGTCAGGTGAAGTTTGAATCCCAGGGATCACTAGAGTGAGTTGGGGACAACAGGAAATACCCCACCTACCACCGATTCTCAGAGCCCTGGATATTGGAGACCACACAGGACGCGGACCCCTCAGGTGACCAGACATGGTCAGCCTGTGCTGGAGGGAAACCTAAGGGGCCCAGGACTCTTCACCCTCTACATTCCTATCTCTAGCTGTCTCTCTGTCTTCACTACGTCTGAGATTTGCTGACCACCCATCTTTTTGTCTATCTATCCATTCTAGAAAACCCAAGCTGGATTACCAAGAGGGGCTGCCGGGCACAGAGATTTCCTGCTGGACTGTGGAGCTATAGTTCTGATGGGAGGTTATGCCCACTAGCTGTGTTACCCACCTGTGCACAGAAGGCTGCAACCTTGTGGCCCCAAGGCCGCCTGTGAGGCCTAGACAGTGATGGGGAGAGGATTTCCACTCATTACAAATAAAAAAAGGTGATGTGAGCCCAGGAAGTAAGCGTCTCTGGTTCCATCTGGCCAAATCCTAGGGCCTCAGAATCGCTCCCTGGACACTTAACCTCATGTAACAGCAAATTCTCTGATAACCTCACAAAGACCTGTGGTCAGTAAGGCCCATGGAAAGCTTTCAGCACAGCCCCTTTCTTTTATAAGCAGGGAAATTAAGATTTAGAGAGATTAAACTAATTATATAAAATGTCTCTCCAGCCCCCAGCTCGGGGCCTAGAACAGAATATTCCTTGGGAACAGAGGTTCAATTTGCTTTGTGGTCATTCAGTTGGTGAAAACCAGCTTTGAATCAAGATTAAAAAAAAAAGTAAACTAGGTGGAAGTTCTTTGTAGGCTCTTAGCAAACTTTCAGGCCCCTTTGCAATAGAATTTTCATGCCACAATTTGATTTTCACACCCATGTTCCAGAAAAGGCCTGTCTGCTCTCAGCAATATGAAGAAACTAGCGCTGGAAGAAAAAGACAAAGATGAGACCCCAGTCCAGGGGAAGCAAGGGTTTGTTCCTAAGAGCTTCCAACCCTAGGCGGTTGAGGGTCCCCTCTCCTGTCCAGAGCTCATAGTTAGACACTCCAAAGATTCCACCTAATTACTACATAGACAAAGCATACTTTAAGAATATTTATAACTGTTCCAATACTACTTCTAAAATAAGGACACCAGTCTCAAATTTACAAATAAAAAGCATTCAGAAAATAAAACCAAAAACCCTAAGAATAAGAAGAAGTGAAAAGAGCCAGGTAGGAGGAGAATTAAATCAGAGACATCAGGGTATGAGAAGCTGCCACAGCTCAAAGTTTTGCTCTGAGCTTCCTGGCAGCCAGGACACAGCAGAAAGTGATCTCATTTGTTTGCTAAGAGGAAGTAACCCAAATCATCAGGGTAAACATTCTTATTCCAGCTCTTGAACAATATAGAGTGTTTTGCTGACTGGGTCTTTCTCAAAGGGTCAAAGGGTCAAAGGAGAGCTGGTGAGAGGGGTCTCCAGCAGCAGACACAGGAACATTCCTGCACTGCTGCCTCTCCGTCAAGCCTGCCTGGGTGGGGGGGGGGGTGGGGGATAAGGAGAATGGGGAGGGTTTCAGGCTGAATGAAGGTCACTCAGAGAAACTTAGGCCACAACTCTGTGACAGGGAGTAGCCTCGGGGCTCAATCAGACTTGCTGTGGCCCTGGCCTCGACATACCAAGTGAGAGAAGGTTGACCAAACTTGTCCCTCCGAGACACTACAGCGTAGACTGGGCTGCAATGTGGAACATGTGTAAAGGTAGAGGGGTCATGGGTGACATTCTGGCCCAGTCAGCACCTATAGGGCTGATGTCCTTTGTGAACAACAGACAGTAGGTCCATGAACGTCTGTTTTGTTCACCAAGTGCTTTCTAGCACTGCTTAAACTAGGCCCTGGGCCGAGTGCTGGGTACACTGGGCCCCATGACAGACTCAGTGCCTGTTGTGACAGCTCGCATGCAGAAAATGACCTGCTGCTGCAGGAGACCAGAGGGAGACATCTTGCCCAATCTGGGGGACATCAGCGAAGGCTTTCTGGAAGTAGTGTTATTAAGGTTGAGTTGTGAAGAACAAAGAAGTCAGCCCAGTGGAAAAGGAGGGCACGCACACCAGGCCAATAGCCATGACACTGCATAGTGATCAGGGAAGGTGAAGGAAAGCAGTGCTGGGGGGTGAAGGAGATTTTGGAGAAGTGGGGAGTCAGGGCCAGGCCATCACTGGCTGTGTACAGTGCACCATAGAGCATGGCTGCCAGGGCCCAGGGTACCATCAGCAGCTGCAGTCAGGGATAAGCACAGTCAAGGTGACATGGACTAAGGAGAGGACAGAATCTCTCTAGGTTTTGTCTGCATGGAAGCCCTCCCTGCCTGTGTATTGTGGGGAAGGACAGAATTTCGACTGGGGTCTCCTCCTGCCTTTCTCCCAACCCACTGGGCCAGGAGGCAGCCTGGACCCTGAGGATGAAGACTGGCACCACAGGAGGACCTGAAGCCATCATGATGGGGCCTTTTCACATCTGACAGGATCTTTCTTCCCATTTCAAAGATGTGAAAACCCACCTCAAAATGACTGATTTCAAGCTTCATGGCTCCTCAGTGGCCAGGGACTGAATGGGTGGCAGACCTGCCCCCTTTAAGGTGTGCCTTCCTGCCCATCTCCCCCATGCATGTGTGCCCTGGCGCTGCGTCTCAGGTGATCCTTTGCCTGGAGCAGCCCACCAGCTTTCCCAGCTGCCTGGCGGTCTCTCTGGTGATAAACGTTTCCCTTCCCCCCCTTACTGTCTCCAGGACCCCAGCCAGAGCAGAAACCATAGTCTCCCTGAGCCTGAGCCCTGGAGTGGGAGGGAGGAGATGTGCTCCTTTGCCAAAGCTGGCATTCATGGTCCTTCCCAGTCTGACAACAGTCTCTTGCAGCTTTACTGTGTCCCCTACTCTAAAGTGAAACTCTCCACTGCTTCCTTTAATGGGGTGTCCTCTGCCCACAACCCTTAGCCTATCAGGCAGAGAGAACGGCAGAAACAAGGTTCTGGGTTGTGTTTGCTGAACTGGAAGTAGCCTGTGTGCCTGGAACCCAGAAAGTAAGGGGAAGCACCTGGTATGTGGGGTTGATGAAGCTGGAGAGGCAATAGGAAGGCAATTTAATTTGTCTTTGTCTCAAGAGCAATGGTGGGAGATGTCATTTATAGGAATTTTGGCAGGAAGGTGTGATCAGTTCTACTTTGCAAAAATTTCCCTCTAGAGGCAGGAAGACCCCTGACAGGGCAGTTATAGTTATCCAGGTAGGAGAGAATAGTCCAGACTGACCTCTTCTCTAGGCTCCCCTCTCTGAAGTCCCGACCACTCAGGACTTACTGTGTGGGGGTGAAGCAAGTGATCACCGTGAAGGTTGATTGGAGGATCCCAGGGATTCCCAGCCCAGCTGTAGGCAAACTTGGGACACCCACACAAACAGGGACTGCATTTACTATCCTGTGAGCCCCAGATCCTGGCCCAGAATGTTGAGTTTGTCTGCTGAATGGATGGATGGATGATTGATGAATGGACAGTGGATGGGCAGAGGCATGGGCAGGCAGATGGACAAATGGACAGAGAGCAGGTAGAAAACTAGATGATTGGAGGAATGAATGACATCTGCCCTGGGACATTCTCTGCTTCCAAGCCATAGAAGGATCCTCGGACCTGATAAAAGCTCTTGAGTCAGGGCCCCTGATGTTTTGTATGATTCTCTTATACCCCAAATTGTGCTCAGACCTTCCTGATTTCCCAGAGCCCCTTTGTGCTAGAGTTAATTCTTGATTTTTCCCCTTTCCAAACCACCATCCATTTAACTCATCGAAGTGCCACGCCAACCAACCCTGTCTTTCTGCCACACCAGGGGGAGGCCCAGGAACTTCCTACCGGCCAGCCATCCTTTGAACTGCCTCAGGGCCAGCTGCCTGTCCCCTGGAGAAGGGGCTCACAGAGGACACAAAGGCTAGTGGGGTTTCTGGCTTCCGCCTCAGGTTTTATTGCCATGGCCCTCCCTTAGGCCCCACTCTGTTCCCCTGTTCCAGATGCCAGGCAAGCTGGGCCAGCCGTCTCAGCAGGGGAGGGCTTGCGCCTACTCAGAACAGGTCGGGGACAATGTAGTCACTGTGAACACCATCAATCAGCCCCTGCCCATTGTTGTGGACAAACCAGCATGCAACCTTCGTGCCAACGCTGACATCCTTCCTGTAGTCTTTCTGGGAGCCCCTGGAGAAAGGAAAGAGATGCCACAATACATAGGGTGGGCAAGATGGCTGCTAGGCTCATGGCCCTAAGGTTGAAAAGAGGTGTGAAGCTACCAATTCTAGGAGTCCAGAACTCTTTTGTCAAGAAGGAGGTCACATGGCTATTCCTTCTAGGGGGCCAATTTTGCCCTTTTCCTGATTAGGAGGAATCTCAAGGGAGACAGGGTCCCACAGAGAAATAAGGGTACCCCGCAGAAGACAAGCACTTTCCAGGTCTATGAGTGTGGCCAGAGAGAGCTCTTTCCTATCTTGTTACTGGGCAGACTCGGGATGTCAGGAGCCCCTCACCTGGTGACCTTCAGCTGCTGGTTCTTCACTGTCATTGTGGCTTGTGGCTTTGTGGGGTCAGAACCCAAGTGTATGTCAGACACTTTAAAGTCAATGGGGTGGAAGAATTGTCCTGGGAATAAAAACATTCACACAGTCAGCCCCTGGCCTGGCCACAGGTGACATGGCCACTGGCTTGATGCAAAGGCTGAATGAGGTATTGTGTGCTGGGAATGGGGTGACTAGCATAGTATTTGCCATCAGCTATGGGGCCTGAGCAGCCCAAAGCTTGAAGATTCCATACCCAGCAGCCCGTGTGTCTGTGCCGACATCTGGCGACTGTTAACCACATAGAAGCCCAGGTAGTCCTGGTGGAAAGGATGTTTCTTCCACACCTGGTGCAGGACGACCACAAAGGTAACCCCATCTCCAAAGGAGATCACCATGTTCTTTTTCCTGTTGATGGTCACGGACAGCCTAGGGGAAAGAGGGGGTCAGCAGTTGGGGCCCAGTGTCCTTGGCGCTGAGCGCATGAATCAAGGGTATCTTGGTGGGACCTTCCCCCGGCATGACCCCTGACAACACAAGACTTTGGAGACCAAGTCAAGGGGGTTGGAGAGAAGACGCCTCCTGGATATTGTATATACCCTCCCCTGAGGGTGTTCCTTAACAAGCCGGAAAGGGGCTGTCTGACAGCCTGCAATCTAGTTCCAGTTCAGTATCTGGCTCCCTGTGAGCCTCGGTGGGAGTAACACTCCTGCCCTTGACTCACAGACTCTGGGAGACATGAAAGAATCTGAGGAGTTTGAGAACTAGCAAATTCAGCCAGAGAAGATGCACATGGGGGGAATGTCAGTATCAGATTTTTAGATCCACTTAATGACCTCTTCCACGCAGCACTTCCCTCAAGGTCAATTGTATGAACTGTCCAGCTTCTGATTCTGGCCCTGATGGGAGCCCAGACATTGTTTAAAGGCCGCCATGGCCATCCCCTCCTGGGGTGGGGGCTAGACTCTGAGGATACCAGATTCTCCTATGACCCCTGTGGATCCCCTGTCCTGGGAGTTATTCAATCCCTCAAGTCCTCCTCTGATTCTCCCACCATAGAGTATTTTGGAGACCCAGTAGTGTGTCCATACCCATCCTGCGAGATCGTGACTGTGTCAAGCCAGCTGAAGGTGCTCCGTACAGCCCCATTCCACAGGGTGATCTTCTCTGGCGTCACCTCAATCCGGGAGTCCATGTGAGCATTGGCAATGCCCAGTTTGCCAAAGTAAGTCTTTGTGGTATTAGAGTGAGGACTGCCTGTCTTGTCACCAATGATCTGCCCATTAACTGTGAGGCCTGCCAGAGGGACAGGGCAGCAAAACCTTCTGAGTCCAGGCTGGCCTTTAAGGATATGCTTTAGGAGATAGCAGAGTGGAAGCCCCAAGGAGAGACCAACCCTGTCTGCTCCTAGACACTCTTGGGTCATACTGGTTGCTAAGGACCCACATGGATCTGCCCCTTTCCTGGCCAGGGAATGGTGAGAGAAAAACATTCCCTGGACATAGGCTAGGTCCTACTCCCAGGCCCAGGTCATCTTTAACTCTAAACATCTCCCCAGTGCCCCTGGCCCCTGGGATAATACTCAGTAAGTCGATGGCTCTGGCTGTGATCTACATATAGAGATGCATGCATTATGGGCAGAGTGAGGACATGGTCCATGTGCCCACCTTGGGGGGCTCCAGACCTTCCCAGAAAAAGCCCCTGCCCCAGCCCCAGCCTGTAGCCCACACCTGTGACAGGGTCCTGAATGAGGCGCAGCACTGTGCCTGGGTCTTCATCGATGTTGAAGCAGAGGGCATCATCTTTCTCTGGGACTTGGATGATGAAGTGGGGGTCCCCATCCACTGAGGGCACATCAGAGAGAAGGGGCTAGTTCTGGAGGCCTCTTACTATTCCAGGAAACTCCCCTTACCTCCTGGACAAGCATGAGGTGCTAGCCCTGGACTTTGAGCCTCACCCTAGGAGGAGCCAAGGAACTCACCATAGTAATAGGGTGTTTGAGGTCTGTGGTAGCTGACTGTGGATGCAAAGGGAGAGAAGGTCGAGCTGAACAAGCAACCCTGGGACACCAGATCCCCCACCCTTCCTGCTCCCTGATCCTCTCAACCCCAGAACTTCTAACATCTGCCCATTCCCGAACAGCCAATTCAGGGAAGGCTCCAGAGGGTAATGGCGCAGGGCTAGGCTGGGCAGTGGGTGGGGCCTATTGCTGCCACATGTACTCACCTGGGTAGATCTTGGAGGAGACCACTATGAGAGAAGACAAAAGGCCATTGTGAATGAGGTCTAGAGGTCCTCCCTCCACCAACCCAAGCCTTCTGCCTGTCTTGGGGCTACTGGGCCCTAGTTGCCAGTAGTACTACTGGGCCCTAGCAGCCAGTAGACAGAGAGTAAGGATGTGATGTGACCCCTAAGCTTAAGTTTTAGAAAAGGGGGATACTTAGGGGACTCCTTTCTAGGACTGGAATACTTTTCTTTATTTTTTAAAAGATTTATTTATTTATGCATACAAGAGCTGGGGCACAGGCCAGAGGTATGGTGGGGGGGGGTGGTGAGAGGATTCACTAGAGACAGAGTGGGGAACAGAACAGGAGGATCTACTGAAATACACTGCTGAGGGGAGCAGCGGGCGAGTCAGGAGAGGTCTGCTGTGACATAGGGGTGCACCCTATGCTGCAATGGCTGCGAATAGCTTCATAGTGCTGCGTCTTAACCCCTTGCGCCACCAGGGAAGGCCCTAGGGCTGGAATACTTTCAGTGCCAACGGCACAGCATTTTTTTTTTTTTATAGAGGCATGTTTTATTTATTTATTTATTTGTTTGTTTGTTTGTTTGTTTTGTTTATACATGCACTGAGTACAGTCAGAAGTGCGGGAGGGTGAGAGAATTCACCAGAGCCAGAGCGGGGAGCAGAGCAGGCAGAAGGACCGAAGCACACTGCTGAGGGGAGCAGCGGGCGGCAGGAGAGGTCTGCGCGCCATGTGGGACCCTCCATCGGTGGCCGGGGAGCAGCTGGGGATCGAACTGGTGCTGCAGAGGCCGCGGGCAACATCACAACCCAGCGTTCAACTGCTGTGCCACCGGGGAGGCCCAAGGCACAGCATTTTGATGTGGCCAACAGGCAAGTTTTTGGATTGTCAACTTCTCTGTCACAAGGAAAGCTCACAGTAGGCCCTGAACTCACCCCTAGTTGGGGTATGGTGAGGCTCAAAGTTGTCTTGTCCTTGGCAGGTAACCTCCCCACACACAAACGCTTGTGCCTGTGCGGCACACAGCTGTGACAGCACCCTGGGCAGAGCTGCTCGGAGAGGAAAGTAGTGACCAGCCCAACGTGCTGTGTAAATTGAACAGCCCATATTGAAGGAGGTGGGGCAGGCAGGCAGGGGCTGGAGAGGCCTGGTGAGGCTCTAATTTATGCTGAGAGATACAGGAGAGCTGTGAATCCCAGCTCAGGCTCTGGACTCAGCCTGCCTGGGATGAAATCCGGGCTTGGCCATCTACCAACAGTCCTCAAGCTTAGATCTAATCTCTCTCTGCCTCAGTTTCCTCACTGTAAAGCGGGAACCATACAAGGACTCTCTCAGAGAATTGCTGTGGGGTTAACTGTTGGTGTTTGATATGGGAAATTGCAAATTTTTGGAGGTCAGAGTAGTTTGTACTGACTATCCTGCCTGGAGCAGGAGAAGCCCACCCAATAAACTGGCAAGGACCTTGCGACTCAGAGAGAGGCAGAGCCTGGCCCAAGGTCACTTGTGAATTGGCAGCAGAACTGAGACCTGAGCCCAAGCGTCCTGAGGGTGCCTCCCTGGGGTTGGCATTCCCTGTGCTTGGAAAGACCTCCTTGGCTAATGTCTTGTCTCCCTATTGGGATACCCACCTAGCTGCTGGCTAAAGCTCACCTGCTGCATCCGTAGACCCTGAGAGAGAAAGAGGAGAAATGCATCAGAAGCCACAGACTCCTGGTTATCCAGGCTGAAGTAACTGAGTTGCTGCCTGGCCAAACTGCCCTAAGCTGAGGGTCTCCCAGCAGCCAGCAGGACCCCATAGGATCCCCCCTGGAACCAGGAGCTCCTGAAGGCCAACAGTGTGGCCTGGTCTAGCTCATTGTCTCCCTGGCTCTGGCCCCAGCCCCCACCTTCCACCCTTCTTTCCCAGCTACAGGGACACTCAGGACTCCCTTCTCAGGGCTGATATAACAGATCTGGTCCCAGCCTCCAGTTCTCAGGTCTCTTTCCCCATAATCCCCAGGTGCCTGCTCCAGGCCTAACTTCCAGCTAGAAGTGCTTCTCCTTGTCTGAGTCCTTCAATGCTGTGTCTTAAGTCTTTCATTGACAAGGACCCTACAAGGACCCTTTACTCACATCCCTTTAGAGACTCAGAAGCTCCTCTTCCCACAACCCTCACTGTCCATGTTGACAGCGTCACTCCTTTACAACCCCCCTCACCAGCTTTTGGCCTTTTTTCCTTCAATACCCTGTGGCCCTGGCCCTCTTCAGCAGTTCTGGATCTTTCCAACCTGGCCAACTCCCAGCACCCAAGGCTCAGTTCCTAAAGGAAGGTCCAAACTCTGGACAACACGCACCTTCACCAGGCTTGTCAGCGATGGATGTCTGGTCCTCATTGTCCTCAGGCTTAGTCACCACCATGGAGGTCAGTGGAGTCACAAAGTGGTACTTGAGGGACAGGTCCAGGGCCTGGGCTGTGAGGTTCTCCTTCTCCTCACCATGGGCGTTCTTGCTATGGGGAGGTGTGGAATGGGAAGATCAACCAAGATCAGCTCCTTGCCTGCCTTCTCCTGATCTGACTCCCCATGGGCAGTGCAGGGATGCCCTCCACCTAGGGTAGAGCCCACTAGACCTCAGAAAAGATTGGTTCACCATCCCTGGGACAGGTAGACAAGCCCTGTTTCCTCTCTGGTTCTCAGTTTTCCCACCTATAAAATATGAGGGGCTTGAAATGGCCACTGCCATAATCCCTCATAATAGTGTCTGCAAGCTGAACTCTTAGCACTTGCCAGACCCTGTGTCAGAGGCCTTACAGTCTAGTCCCATGTAAAAGAAAGCAGATGTGGCCCTCAAATGGGCCCAAGCTCCGCCCTCTGTGTGCAACCTCACCATCTCTTTTGGCCCACGCTGGGTGCAGGGAACAGGATGCTTAAGGTGCCCCCAGGCTTCCTCTTAAACCCCAGATGCCAAACTGGACTCTGCCCCTGGAAAAGCATCCTGTGGATCTAGGCCAAGAAGAGGGCAGGGCAGCTGGATGTGCACCTGGGCATATGGCTAAGTTTTCCAACTCTTGGACTTCCCAGAGCATAATGAGTACAGGGACACAGGAATGTGCTGAGCACCTACAGGGGTCTGGGTGTGGGATTGGGCTATATGAAGTGTAGGCCAGGGTCACCGTTTATCTAGCAGCTGCTCAATGGTGAGGTAGGCCCAGAGCCGCTCAATGTAGTCCCCAAAAATGTAGTCCTGTTCCTTCAGGGCCTTCTCCATCTCCTTCATGTCTACCTCTTCTGTGAAGGTCAGATCATTGACAGCCTGCAGTAGGGATGGGAGGAAGTGAGGAAATTGAGAGCTAGAGGCCGAGAACCAGGTGGGCTCTATTGAGGATCCACCACTGCCAGGAGGCTGGAGCCCTATCAGTGCTGATTCCCCATCCCCTTCTTACCCCATGACCCTTCACATCTGCCTTGAAATGGCTCAGGTCCTTGTCCACCAGTTGCCCAGCCACCACAATCTCGGAGCCATCATAGAAGTGCTGGTAAGTGTTCTTGGTGAGGTCCATAATGGCGTTGGTAGGGTACTCCATCTCCACGTCCGTCAGCAATGGGTTGGCTATCTCCTCATAGAAACCCTGGAGTCCAAATTGGGGACCTGGTCATCTCAGGCCTCCAGGGTGGGCAGTATCCTACTGACACCTTAGCGAGTCCTTGAGTCCCCCAGGCTGATCTAGTTCTGGCTTCTAATCTCCATGTCCATGTGTCCTGACTCTGCCCTGCAGTTTGTGGGCATCATCCCTATCCCCCGGGTAGAGACTGGGAAGAACAGAAAAGGAAGGACAGAGTTGTCAGTACATAGAAAGTATTCAAGAAACATCGGTTGGAATGAAAGTAAGATGTAAAGGAAAGTTGATGTGGAGTGGGAGCACAGCCACCCAGAGACAGATAGGGATAAAGGCCTGGGGGCCACTGCAGACAGGAGATGAGGTCCCTGCCCTGGGAGAAATGGGGTTGCCAGAGAGAGCAAATACAGCACCATGTAATTAAGTATGAGTGTCAGATAAACCGAAAATCATTGGCATAAATATGTCTGCTATGGGTTGACTCTGCCTTAAAACACTATGTTAAAGTCCTTATCCCTGGGCCCTCGGGACATGGCCTGATTTGGGGAGAGGATCCTCACAAAGATAGCAAGTAAAGATAAGATCATCTGGTTGGGCCCTAATCCAGTGTCTGGTGTCCTTACAAAAGGGGAAATTTGGACATAGAAACAGACATACGCACAGCGAAGACCATGTGAAGAGAAGGGCACCTTGATTCTAGCCCTCTGGTCTCCAGAACTGTGAAGCTATGGCTTTCTGTCATTTAAGCCCCCCCCCGTTTATGGTATTTTGTTACAGCAGCTCTAGCAAACCAATACAATGTCCTATGCACTATTTGCTGCAAGTTTACATTAAAATATCATTTAATGTGTCAAAAATTCTTTTTTTCAAACACAGGCCATACTATGTTTGGTCTGGCAGTCCTACAGAGGAAGCAGGTCTGTTCATGGGTAACCCAAAGACAAAATCAGAACCATTGCAGGTGGATAAGAAATAGCCAGACGTCTATTTTAAGTCACACAAAAGCTCTTTCTAATAACTGAACTCATCTCAGGGTGCAACCGCACCTGAGGGAGTAACGAGCCACTCGTTCTGGGGGCGCGCACGACAAGGCGTACCTGCAACTGCAAATCGGCATCAGAATCCTCATAAATGCGCCGGGCAAATCCATTGTTTTCCAGGGCCATATTCTCCAGAAAATTATAATTCATGCTGTAGCCAAAACCCAGGTTATATAAGGGGAACTTGCCCCCAATGGCCTTCCGCACTTTCTCTTGGATTTCTTCTGGGTTACTTACACCTGCAGAGAAGGGGGTGCCCGTGCTCCAGCCACAACCCTGGCAATGTCAGAACTAGATCTGTCTGGAGATGCCTGACTATTGCACATGTGGAGTTGGTGGCATCATTGCCATGAACCCATAGGGACAGAGGATGGAGAGCCCTAGCTGGGGGAGGCAGGCCCCTGCTCTTGAGGGGCTCACAGACTGTGGGGGACCCTGGATAGAGCTACTACAGAGCCAGGGACCACAGCCAGGCACTCTGCCACACCCGTCTGCCTCACCAACATTCGCGTCCCCGTCAGTCAGCATGATGAGGACGGAGGTGCTCCTCTGTGGGACCAGATTCTCCTCCTGGGCCTTCTTCAGCATGTTGATGCCTGTCATCATCCCGTCATGGATGTTGGTTACTAGTTCACAGACAGACAGACAGCACCATGGGAGGCAGTCCTCCAGGTGCCAGCATGAAGGAGGTCGGAACTGCAGGCCCTGCTCATGTGCCCAAGAACCCTGTCCTCCAGACCAGGTGGTGCAAGATAAATAGTGACTGAATGAATCAGGGAGTGGTGAATGAATGCCTTTTTCAAGCGGGGATAAAAGGATGGGCCTCTTAGAACTGCCGGAAGGATGGCAGCGTGAAGTAATTATAAAAGCAATTGGGAAAACAGTGGGTAACTCTTCTTACGATGGGAAGAGGAAAGCAGTGGGGAGCAGTACAGAGGTCACCTGTGGTTTTTTTTCCATAAGAAACAGCCAAGGATAAGTGTTCCCTGTGGTCTCATCTTGACAAGATCATATGTTAGAAACAGAAAGAATGGGTTTCCCACTCCCACAGAGAAGATATCTTAAGATCAAGCCTAGGTAACCCCACCCCCAATGCCATAGGTGTTGGGGCCTGCAGGGGTTGGGACCACAGAGCCTCTGCCCCAGGCAGGAGGGAAAGAGGCGCCTCAGGCAGAGTTGCAACTAGACACATCTGCTCTCCCCCCCCACTCTTACACATTAAAGCCCTAATACTCTTCACAAACTCCTTGGCTTCCTGGATGTTCTCAGGGGTGGCTTGAATTAATTTGTCTTTCCATGTGGTCACATCAGTACTGAACAGTATGAAATTCAGGTAGTCTTCTGGCTTCATGTCCTCTAGGATTCTGAGGAGGGCATCCTTTGTCTGAGAAGAGAAAGACAGGCAGCCCAGGGCTGGGAGATCAAGCAGCAAACATCCCGGAGCCGCGCTGGCCCAGGTTGGCAGTGGGCCCACGCTGTCTGCAAAAAAGGGGACCAGATGCTTTGTGCCTTCTTTTATCCTGTCCCTTCCTCCTCTTTACTAGAAATATCAGCTTTGTCCACTTTAAAAACAAAAAACAAAAACACCTTACCTCCCTCCCTGCCCCACTTGCACAGGAGGAGTACCTACCTGACTTAATTTCCGACCTAGCATGGAGCCACTGACATCAATCACGAAGACCACATTCTTAGGCACCACTGGAAGGTCTTTAGGTGCAAAGAAATGCACAAAATAGCCATTGACGATCTGGAAAGGGGAGAGAGAGAGACTGGAGGCTGATGTCACTTTAGCAACCTCACATTGTATCTACTAGCCCAATTGAAAGATGAGCTCTCCCACCCACTGGGGATGCCACACCAAAGCCCTGGACTGCCTGCTATCCCCTTGCTGTGCAGGAAACTTGACCTTGGGCACTAGATTCAGCTGCAGCCCCTCCCCACAACAGCCCTTACTCCACTTCGATGGGAAATGGAGCAGGCAGTGGAGTCAGCTGGTGGGTACCTGCAAGTTAGCTGGAGACTCTCTGTTCACATCATAGGAGATGGTTAAATCTCCGTCAAGGAGGGAGTCTGTACAGTTTGGGCATGAACGCTGTTGATCCAAGCTGGGCTTGAAGGATACATGGCCCTGAGGGAGAAAGATGGAGGGACTGGCTCAGTTTGGCCAGGGTCTGCCCTCTGCAGGCCTCAGCCCAGGGATGCCCTGGGGAGCAGAAGCATAGCCCTTCTGAGGAAGGACCTGTAGGAGGGCACCTAGGCACTACATCCGGCATGTGCTTGCTTTTTGGAGCACTTCTCTGGCCCTCAGAGACTAGGGCTCCTTGGAGGCAGAGGCCTTGTTGACTCAGCCGTTTTCTCTCTCCCTGTATACTATCCTTTAGCTCAGCCTATCTTGGCGCTCAGCAGCAAGAAGCCACTTAAGGAAGGGAGTTATGCACTGTGACCATGTTGGGTGGAATTGCATGGGTTGGAGAGGGGGGAGGTGGGGGAGGGAAGAGATCAGGAGCAAGAGGGCCAGAGGCCTAGGACAGGGCACTGCCCAGCAGAAGCCAGCAGCCCTCTGGGCGTGTGCTCCTGGGGTCTTCACCTGGAAGTCCTACGTGACTGAGGTTTGTTGTGTACGCAAACGTTTATTCACGCCTTGCCCATAACTAGCAAGGTCCCTGGTATAGTTGGGGATTTTGAGGACCAGAGCCAAACACCAGCACCAAGAATGAAATTCTCTTTCATCTTTCACCCCCCAAAGTATACATCAAAATGACTCCCTGTGGCGCCCTTATCCTCACTTATCAAATAGGATGCAACCAGGCTTCAAGATGGTTCCCCTACCTGCCAGCATAGTTGAGACCCCAATTTCTCTGGCAAGTAATCAGCAAGCAGCCCCCTGCCTCTAGCATCCTCACGCCTGACCGAAGTAGCCATGGAGAAAGATGATGCATCTTTCTCTACTCATTGCATCAGCCCAGCCTAGGGTTCAACATGTCCCACTAGGGTTGGTGCCTGCTAGGGCAGTTACCCTGCCCCTGCCCCCCAGGCCTAAGAAGTGTCTACACCACCTTTTTCCCTGAGAAGGACTTGGTGAGGGCACTGGCCAGGAGGTCATTGGTGATGAATGAAGCCTTAGCGTCCAGCATGCTGATGCCCTGGGGCTCGAAGATGTCTGCATGGATCTGAAATGGTCAAAGGCGAGGAGGGGTCACTCAGTGACAGTACAGAGGCCGGCCTCCAGGACAAGGCCGAGGGGCAGGAGATGGGCCAGTCACAGTGCAGGGGCGGTCTCTAAGACAACTTTGTGATGGCCAAGCCTGGTGTGTCCCATCAAGAAAATGACCACAAGGACTTAGAAAAGGGTACTCTGACCCCAAAGCTCTTCTACCACCTTCCAATGGTACCCCACATTCCACCACTAAAGCGTCTGCTTGGGCTTTCAGCTCTGAGGTAGGTAAAATTGCCCACATAACCAATTGCAAGCATGAGAGAGACATTGATATTGCCTCCAAGGGCCCAACAACCAACCTAGATCTGCCAGGTCTAGCCCAAACTCCTCCCCTTAGCCCCCCATTGCACTAGCCAGAGACACTCTATTTCCCCCCCAACACGCCACCCCAAGGCTCCTCAGCAAAATGGTGGGAACTGGGCTCCTCTTCTGGGTTCTTCCCTGGAGCCCTCCCCAGCACCCCCACCCTGCCTGCGGTTTCGACAGGAGTGGCAAGAGCTGTCTATTACCTCAAAGTGCCTGACCAGTTGCTTGGGCTTGATCTTGAGGTACATCTCGTACTTGCCCTTGTGTCTCTTCAGCAGCTCCTCGTAGGTTAGCTCAAAGGTGACTTTGCTGCCTGCAGCCACATTGACCGAGACGGTGAATTTCTCCAGCTTTCTCCCAGAGGCCCTGAATAGGGGTGCAAGACAACAACTGCCTGAATCCTGCACAAGTCAGTCCTGCTTGGGCCTTGGTTTCAAGTCTTAGCCCCTTGAGGAAGACCTCTAATCACTTTGATCCTCAGTTGCCTTGATTTCAAAATGGGATAGTGTGAAAATGATGGACATATTTTGCTATAGTGATATGGTGTAATAATAGTGTAATGTATTAAAATGTATTATAACAATATAATAGTAGTAACTGTATAATAATAATAATAATAATAATAATAATAGCTGTGCCCTTATAGCCCAAATATTCTCCCCAAGGTCTTGGGGGGAGGTGGGTCCTGCACTTACTTTACCAAGCCAGCTGTCTTGCCCTGAGACACGGCCTTTTCATACTGCTTCTTGGCGACTTCTTTCTCTTTGATGTTCCCAGGGTAGGTAACACCATCGATGGTCCTGCAGGAAAAGGGAGTCAGGGGCTCATGCTGGGCCAGACTCCCCTCGTGATCCCAGAGCCGACTGCCATGGTGACACCTACAAGGTGAAGTTGGTGATGAAGGCGGTCTTGGGCAGCTCCACGTCAAAGGAGACCTCCTTGGCTGTGTCTGCTCGGTTGACAGCCCGTGTGGTGACCACATTGTGAGCAAAGCGGGAGGTGACCTTGCTGCTGATCTTGGTACTATAGATCTCGATGCCATTAACCACCTGTGGCAGAGGTGAGTAGTGACCAGCAGGCGTGAGCACGGAACTCCAGCCCCTCACAAGCTACCCTCTGCAGCTTCCAAAGTCCCTGTCTGGTCAGTGACTCCTCCATTCTCCTAGTCACCCATGTCAGACGCTGGGTGGCATCCTTGATCCCAGGTTCAATGGACACCACAGCTTCAATGGCTGCTCTTCATTCTCAGTTCTTTCATCTGTCTGTGTGAAACTGTAGCCAGTAAGTTCTTGTGAAAACCAAATCTGATCCTGTCCTTCTCCCGCTTAAAGCTCTCCCCTGTTCCCATCACCCTCAGGACAGTCTTCCATGGCTGAGTTCCTCCAGGCAGGTCCTGCCTTCTCGGCTCACTCCTCGCTCCAGCCATACTTTGCACCAGGAACACCTGCCTTAGCTCTTCCAGCTCACATTTCTTGCCTCCTCTTTAAAAGAACCGCACGGGCACACCCCCTGCCTGTCTCCTGTATCCTTCGGTCATCGCCTGACTCTCCCAATAGGCACTTAGAACCCATGCCCAGAGCAGCGCGTGGGGAGGACCTGCATGCCCCCACCCCCTCTTTCCAATGTGGGTGGTGGGCTGAGGGAGACTCTGGGAAGACATCTGGGATAAACATAGATAGAAAGGTGTTTTGTGAGGGTGTGATGGACCACTTAGAAGTTGTATGGGTCTGCCAGGCCAGGTAGCCATGAGCTGTTTGCCAGCTGAGAGGGAACTGTCACTAAGGCCCACCCCTTCAGATGTTGAGCAACCAGCTCCATCCTGCCCTGATGAAAGTTCTTACCCCTTCTGGGAGGCTCCGTTTCTGCAAAAGTAAAAACAAACAGAGATTAGACCGAGGCCAAGGCCACTGTGATCTGGGAGCAGGCTCGGTACCGAGGTTCCAGTGCAGTGGTAACAGCCCAACACACACTCTGACGTAGATATTGAGGGGCCTCTGGACATAGAGCCACATGTCAGAGTAGGAAGGGCTCTGAACAGATGGGGAAACTGAGGTCCAGAGAGGGAGGTATCCAGGGCAGAAGGGCAGGCGAGCCAAACCCAGCACTCCCCGCTGCCCCACATAGCCCTTCTCACGGTTTGTCCCTAGGCCCCAGGCACTAGGAACTCCTCCCAGAGTGCCCCCCATGGCACCCCATTTTGCTCAGGTCAGCCCTGCCTTTATATCAGAGATGGCTTCATACCTTCAGTGAGACAAGCACATGGTGCCTTGCCCGTTTACCAGGTGGGGAAATAGAGGTGTAGGGAGACTAAAGAACTTTGCCCAGAGTTAGACAGCTGATCTGGAGCCCGGTTCCCCCTAACATCCAGCTCTGTCTCCTGAAGCTCGCTGCCTGGCCTTCTGCCTCCTCTCCCCATGTTGAGGACTGCCCAGCCTGGGGCCTCTGTCCACTGGAGAGGCCAGATGGTGAAGAGGGAGCAAACTCACCACTAATGGCCAGGAAGGGCTTCTTGGGATGCCAGAGACCACCAAGCAGGAGAGCAGGGCCAGAAGGAGGTGAGGCCACCTGGCAAATGCCATTGCTGAGCACGCAAGCCAAGACTGCACTCCTTATATGACTGAGCCTGCTGTTTTTCGAGTGGGATCAGTGACCTACAGCCGGGGGCGGGAGGAGGGAGGATCCTCCGGGAATCCAGGGTGTGGGTGGAGTAACAGCTCTGGACCTGCCCCTACCTAGGGGTCCTGATGGGTATTGTCAACAGTATCGGGAATTCAGTCCTGAAATTTGGGTGACTTGCAGCTCCAGGGAAGCGGAAGTTGTGTGTTGGCAAATGGGCCCAGGACTTTTCAGCATCATTGCCCCTGACCCTGCTTTCAAGGAAAGGGCTTCCTTTCTCAAGGAAACCAGGGCACAAACTAAACCCATCACCTCAAAGCAGGCATCTTCCCAGCTGAAGTCCTTGTTCATGACCCTTTGAAGGTTTCCATCAGCCCAGAGTAAGGACAAACCACGAGTCTCAAGGCTCAGCTCTCACTGTGATCTGGCTCCAACTTGCTTCTCCTCCCATTGGTGTACCCCACCTCTGCACAAGGCTTCTCTCATCTCCCCCTCCAGCCCCAGCGCCCCTTCTCCGAGACCTTTGTCTTTTGTCCCCTAGCCAACCTCGGACAACCTGCTCCAGGCCCTAAGCATCCTGAGGACCTGCTTAGTTGATACCTTATGTTGAGGTTTCTGTGTTAGGCCTGATTGTGCCCCCAGACTCCCAGTTCCTGGAAGGTCAGGTCGTGTCATGAACATCGCTGTGTTCCCAGAGCCTGGTTAGGGACTTGGCTGCCCTCAGCCTATTGGAGAGTCCTTTCCCAACAGTCTCCAGTGAGGATGGCACTCTGGCCTCCAGGACAATAGGACCTGAAGAGGAAGCGTTAGTTCCCCTCCTCTTGGGTGCTGGCACTATTAGGGGCAAAGGATGTCCTGAGCTAATTCCATACAGGCTTTGTGGACTCCACCCCCACTCCAGACCAAAGCCATCAAGATACTGGAAATGACAAATCCCATCATCACCAAAGGGAGCTTTGCTGGGACCTGAGGGTAGAGTAAAGCTGCCAGGTTTGCTATAAAATCAGACACATGGGCCTTGGGTCTCTCTCTCTTGGCTTCACAGCTCCTACCTCTCCGGCAGCTGTCAGGGTGCCATTGGGATTCCAGGTCAGCGGAACAGGTAGGACGCATTTAAGACTTTATTTCCCTCTTTTCTCCCTGAGTTGTACATTTCCTCACTTCCCCTTCCCTTGTTAATAAACCTTTTATTAACCTTTTGTGTGTGCCTGCAGTTGAATATTAATAAGTCTCTTTTGAGCGTGCGGGTGAGGACCCACAGTCAGGCAACCGTTTTATATTGGGGTTGCCCTGTAACAGTTTGGCGCCCAGCGTGGTTTCCAAGATACACCCGTGGTTGACCAGCCCAAAGCAACTTTCCTTGCATTGGTCACCATAAGCGCACTAGGTCTGCAGGACTCGCAGTGTAATCTTTGTCACAAGTCTTGAAAAGTCTGCTTTTTTTCCCTTCTATACAGCTCTCTCTTGTGGGTGTGTTTTTGACCCAAACATGGCCTCAGCCAAGAGCTTACACAGTTTTATCCCTAGCTTGAGTTCTTTCAGTTTTTTTCTGGCCTTGAGTTTGAGCAGCCTTTTTCCGTTAAATATTACCACCAGTTTTATAAATGTAAATAATTTGATAAAACCTGGTATGTAGCACATGATTTTACTTCTGTATACATACATGGGTGATTTACAAGCCATCCTTTTACAATCTGTGCTTCTGGTGTTTTTTGGTAATGTGTGTAAGTGCCATTTGCTACATTCTTGGTTCTATGAGAGGTAGATGTTCTACTTCACATACTGAGAATGTGCAACAACACATTCAGGCTCTTAGCTATGCAACAACAAACTCAGGCTCTTAACTTAGCTATGCAATAACAAATTCAGGCTCTTGATTTAACTACTAAGAGTACGAGGGATGAAAATCGTACCGTTTTTGAGCCAGCTTTTAAAAGCATGCAGGATCAAGCATTTAAAAGTAGCTTCCATCTCCCAATGGCTTCCACTACCTCGTCCCACAGATGGCTGAGAAATAATTGAAGGAGCATGTCCACTCTTCTTTGCTCATCCTAAGGAATTCATATTTATACTTGTGGAGGAAAAAAGGGGATATAAATTTAATAAAGAATAAGAAAAGGGAATAGAGTTCATCCATTTCACATGCAGGACCAGATACAGGCTGCCCTCCATAAATTGGCTATGACAGAGGATTGGCTGATGGCACAGAGAAGAGATAAACCTTCCCCTTCCCATGAGGACTGCAAGAGGGCAGAGTTAGAAGAGGAGGATTATCATTTGTTAAATACTTTAACTAAATTAGGACAAAGTCCTTCTCCATGTGACAAGGCCCCTCCTGCACAGACTCCTGAGGCTTCACAGCCTGCATTGCCCTCTGGGGAGGAAACTAAAATGGCATCTCCTCCCCACACTAGATGCGGCACCCATCTTGGCAGGAAGGGTCACCCTGAGGCAGGACAGTTGCTGTTATAGGGCAGCCCCGATATTGAACGGGTTGCCTGGCTGTGGGTCCTCACCCGCGCGCTTAAAAAGGACTTATGAATACTCCACTACAGGCACACACAAAAGGTTAATAAAAGGTTTATTTACAAGGGAAAAGGAAATAAGGAAAATGTACAACTCAGGGAGAAAATAGGGAAATAAAGTCTTTAATGCGTCCTACCCGATCCGACGACCTGGAAACCCAAAGTCGCTCTCAGAGCTGGCCGGACGCTGCGAGCTGGTGGAGAGCCAAAATGGGGAACCCCCCCCCCAAAGCCCACGTGTCTGCCTTATATCCACCTGGCTGCTTAACCCCACCCTCAGGTCCCAGCCACCTTCCCTTTGGTGGGGATGGGATTTGGAGTTCCCAGTGTCTTTGGCTTTGGCCTGGGGTGGGGGTGGAGTCCACAAAGCCTGTATGGGATTAGCTTTAGGACAGCCTTTTCCCCCTAACATTTCCTCTCTGACAGATGCCCATGGGTGGCTTAAATGAACATGGACGACCCGCTGGGTGCTTTTGGTCACACCATCCTTTTAGCACTGTGGACCTCCTAAATTGGAGGGGCTCTGTCCCCTCGTACCGGCAGGCTCCTATAAAAGGATGGTAAACTTGTTTGTCTCTATCTTCCTCTCCCACCGCCCTAACTGGGCAGACATACAGTCTATGCACAAACTTTACTGACTCTGGACGAGCGGAGAATGGTATTCAGGAAAGCCAGGGAGGAGGCTGACCGCCGCCACCAGTAGGATAAAGAATCCTCAGAGCCAGAGATGGTTGTCCCAGTGGTAGATCCTGAATGGGACCCAAACAATGGAGGGGTGGCGATGATAGAACTATATAAAAATGTTTATTGGTAGTGTCAGGGGGAAAAGGATGTCGACTGCAGCAGGGAATCCCCAAACAAAAAAATTTTAACAAAATATTACAACTTGAACAAGGAGCTAACAAGGATCCATCGGAGTTCCTTGAAAGAATTATTCAGACGTATACCAACCACACAGATATAAACCCAGAGGCCCCAGAAAATTCTCGTCTGATCACTATGGCGTTCATCACACATAGTGTTAGGGGGAAATGATGTCCTGAGCTAATCCCATGCAGGCTTTGTGGACCCCACCCCCACTCCAGACTAAAGCCATCAAGACAGTGGGAAAGACAAATCCCATCACCACCAAAGGGAGGGTGGCTGGGACCTGAGGGTGGAGTTGGGCAGCCAGGTTGGATATAAAAACCAAACACGTGGGCCTTGGGGGGGCTCGCTATCGCTCGCCTCCTGGCTACATGGCTCCTGGCTCGCGGCCAGCTCTCAGAGCGCCATTTTGGGATCCTGATCAGCGGATCGGGTAGGACTCATTTAAAACTTTGTCTCCCACTTTTCTCCCTGAGCTGTACATTTCCTCATTTCCCCTTCCCTTGTAAATAAACCTTTATTAACCTTTCATGTGTGCCTGCAGTAGAGCATTGATAAGTCCTTTTAAGCGCGCGGGTGAGGACCCACAGTCAGGCACCCCGTTTTGTATCAGGGTTGCTCTACAACAGTTTGGCGCCCAGCGTGGTTTCCAAGTTACACCCGCGGTTGACCAGCCCAAAGTAACATTCCTTGCGTTGGTCACCATAAGCGCACTAGTTCTGCAGGACTTGCAGTATAATATTTGTCTCAAGTCCTGAAAAGTCTGTTTTTTCCCTGTGCGTACAGCCCTTGTGGGTGCATTTTTGACTCAAATATGGCCTCAACCATGAGCCTATACAGTTTCATCCCTAGCCTGAGTTCTTTCAGTTTCCTTCCGGCCTTGAATTTGAGTAGCCTTCTTCCATTAAATATCACCACCAGTTTCATTAATGTAAATAATTTGATGAAGCCTGGTGTATGGCACGTGATTTTACTATTGTATACATACATGGGTGGTTTACAAGCCATCCCTTTACAGTCTGTGCTTCTGGTGTTTTTTGGTAATGTGTGTAAGCGCAATATGCTACATTCTTGGTTCTATGAGAGGTAGATGTTCTACTTCACATACTGAGAATGTGCAACAACACATTCAGGCTCTTAACGTGGCCATACAACAACAAAATCAGGCCTTTGATTTAACTATTAAGTGCATGAGGGATGAGAACCGTAACATCCTTGAGTCAGTTAATAAAAGCATACAAGATCAAGCTTTTAAAAATATGCAGGACCGGATAGAGGTCGCCCTCCATAAATTGGATATGGCGGAGGCTCGGCTGATGGCACAGAGAAAGGATAAACCTTCCCCTTTCCATGAGGACTGCCAGCGGGCAGAGTTAGAAAAGGAGGAGCATCATATTTTAAATACTTTAAATATATCAGGACAGGGCCTCCCCGGTGGCGCAGCGGTTGAGCGCTGGGTTGCGAAGCTGCCCGCAGCCTCTGCAGCGCCGGTTCAATCCCTGACTGCTCCCCGGCCACCGATGGAGGGTCCCACATGGCGTGCAGACCTCTCCTGCCGCCCGCTGCTCCCCTCAGCAGTGTACTTCGGTCCTTCTGCCTGCTCTGCTCCCTGCTCTGGCTCT